GGAGAAACTTTTTATCAAAGAAGATACTCCTGCATTCCAGGTTTATATGCTTTAGCATGTAGATAGGTATGGACAGTTTTACAGAACTGATGATATCTATCACCACCGCTCTTATGAAGTGACCTCTAATGGACAACCAGTCATGGTTGATGATTAAGTCATTTCATGATTTGCAATTGTAGTGCAAGATTTTTGTACATACATTTGCCGGTATCTCCTTCTTGTGTTTTGATGTGAATGTGAAAGAGAGTCCTTTTGATGCAGTTTATTTTGTCTGTGAATGAAAGCGGTCGAGACCACGTCACGAGAAGATTATTCCTCGGACCGTACGCTCCTTGCATTTTGCAAGGCATCTTAATTCATTGCAATTTGTGCGGTCTTGAATTTTTAGTTCTTTGTTACGCGAGTGTCGTTTGATTCTTTTATAGGTCTCTGTAGAGAAAAAGCCGCTTTCCCTTTTTAGTTTGATTTAGCTCAGGCCCTAAAGAGCTAGTGAGCGCCGGTACATGGTATCTTCGCCTGCGAAAAGTACAGTCTCCAGCCGAGGTACATTATCGTTTTGATTTTGTACTTGAGGTGAGTCAGCTATTGCTCCCTCACTGTATTTAGTAGCTATGAGATTACCTTCTCTGAAGTGTGAAACACACTGGATTAGGTAAGTACATGGCACCGTAGTTTTCTTTAAGTTGTCAGAGCTAGCTGGACTGTTTTAGCCTTGCAGTAGAAAAAGAGTATGCGACATACGCAATCAGCTAGAAGTGGACATGAATCTTGTGCCTGCTGAAAAGTAGAGCCTACCTGTACAGGGTTCCACTCCAACAGCTGATATAGTGTGTCCATGCTTGACTGCTTCAAGGCTCAAAGAGCAAGAGGATAAGACTCTGCGCATAAAAGACACTAGCGGTCTGCACCTCTACCGTGTACGCCCTAGTCACTCTTTCAGCCCCTCCCCCCCCTTTAGTAAAGAAAATCATCTTCCCAACTCATTTTTCTTCTTTTAATGCTGAGGTGCTCGTACTTTTAATAAAGAAAATCATCTCCCCAACTCATTTTTCTTCTTTTAATGTTGAGGTGCTCGTACTTTTAGTAATGAAAATCATCTTCCCAACTCATTTCTCGTCTTTTAATGTTGAGGCGCTCCTACTTTTAGTAATGAAAATCATCTTCCCAACTCATTTTTCTTCTTTTAATGTTGAGGTGCTCGTACTTTTAGTAAATAAAATCATCTTCCTAACTTATTTTTCGTCTTTTCATGTTGAGGTGCTCGTACTTTTAGTAAATAAAATCATCTTCCCAATTCATTTTCTTCTTTTAATGTTGAGGTGCTCGTACTTTTAGTAATGAAAATCATCTTCCCAACTCATTTTTCGTCTTTTAATGTTGAGGCGCTCCTACCCCCCTCTCGCCTTGTCTTGTCTTGTCGCCTTGTCTCGTCTCTTGTCTTCACTTCTCTTCTCTTTTCGTTCTCGTTCTCCTTCGCTTCTCTTCCCCCTCTTCGTCTTTTTCAAGCAGGCCATGCATTGGCGCACAGTCGCGCGTGTAGAAAAACGTATAAAAACCTTGGTTTTTCCACGCGTTTTGCGGGAACTCGCTGCCAATTGGGTCCTATATCGCTTACACTGTCACGGCGTTATTCTAGGCAATGGCTCTTACACGACTTCGTTCTGACACCGCAACCTGTGCACCTTCCAAGTCATGTCGCGCACAAGCCCCTTGCAACCATTTCCTCGCTACTTTTTTTCGCTTACATGTCACTTTTGCAGAAGCTCTGTGTTACACACGCGCTCTCTGCAAGTACTGTTCGCTGCCCACTCGCTTTTACACCAGCGCAGCTTTTGTTTTTGGCCAGTTGCTCTCCACTTACATGGCTCTTACACTACTTCGTTTTGACGCCGCACCTCATTGACACAAACATCTCCAGCCAGCGTGCATGTTCCAAGTCATGTCGCGCACAAACCCCTTGTTTTCACGCACTTTGATATCGTACACTCTGTTAGCTAACCTTTGCATAACCTGCACACAAAAAAACACAATAGCTACACACAGCTACACACGCCCGGGCCATGGCGACCAGCCGTGCGGGCTCGAGCTGATGGCCGGCGGCATGCCGAAGGCTGTAAATAATGCACCCATATTGCTTACACCATATTGCATACCATATTGCTTACACATAAGGTTGTTAAGATCTCTTCAAAGCTGCAACTCCCGTAGAAACCCACGGCAGGAGAGCCCCAAGCAGGATTGTGGTTCAGAATGGATGGTCTTGTCGGACCCAAACTTTGCTTGCACTATGCTCACCAGAAGAGCTGTCCTTCACACTGTTCACATCAGACACATGGCATCGTATGACGTGCGGTAGTCGTTTGGAAATCCGTCCCTCCCAGGCTGAATCTTTCGCACCAGCTTGCACCAGGGGACGGCTGTAGACCAAAAATACTGCGCCGTGCATCTCCCACTCCTGCGATGTGTGGAAAGTCACCCACTTCCGCACTTCTTTGGCACTGCGCCCAAAGACGGGTCTTAGAATGATACCCTTTGGGGAATTATATATTATGTGCGGGGTGAATGTGATCATCAATATTAGGTTGGAGGCCATCGCTAGTACCATCGCTAGTAGGCTGGGGACCATCGCTATTAGGTTGGAGGCCATTGCTAGTAGGTTGGAGGCCATCGCTATAATTATACAAATTGGTACCATATGTATATACTTAATCATGCCTATGCCTATTCCCATCTATTAATCAACCAACCAAGGTTGTCTACAGGCCCTCTATGAGGTTCTATGAGTCTTGAGTCTTAGATGGTCTTAGCAGGTCTTGCCATCTTGCGTGTGGGTGCTGCATGGGTGGAGCCCATGACTTGAAGCTAAGTTCAACCTAAGCTGATGCCGAAAGGGCAAACATGCATGGATTCGTGCCAACTCCCGATCTTTGGGATGCAGTTCGGAGGGTCCTTGGATGCGGAAGAACGTGCAATAAATTACAAATGGCTCCAGGACCACCAACATCACCCAATTCCGAACCGAACATCTGAAAGTTTCAGTAATCTAATCACTGTACCAAAAAACGTACTTCTCATGGTTCATATTATTTGCATCGAATGGATACTTTACCATTTTCACTTTGGAACTTCAGGTTTGGATCCGACTTGTCTTTTCTTAAAACCCAACCATCAGGCATGTTTCGACAAATAACCGCTACCTGAAACAGGCCGGGAAAGCAAACATGATGTCACTCGAAAGCAATTCACAACTTAAAGCAATCTCACAATATCAAAACCATAGAATGTGACAAACAAACAAACAAACCAAATCAAACCAAAACAAACTAAATTGACAACAACCAAAACTTTGTCTGTGAAGGTTCAGAAACTTTGTGTTTCCCCCGACGGCTTCCAGTAAGGTGATGGTCCACACGATCGAAACGACTGTTCACATTCCTATCGTTCCCAGCCGATCCAAACCATCTGCGAAGACATGAAAAAACTCCACGAAAAGAAAAACAAGGTCTTTTGTATCAGTTCCTGTTGAACACTTCCAGTGTTCAGCCGTTTCAGCATTCTTTTCCTTCGCTAACGGCCCAGCCCGCCACGTCGCTCCAAATCCATGGCCAACGGTGGAGCCGCGGAGTCCTCCTTTTTCGCTCCACGAGGCGAGGAAAAGGACGGAGCATGTGTTCTCTTTTGCGTGTGGGAAAGCAAAAGACCACAAAAAACTACACACACGTGTTCTTTTTAATGTGATTGTTCCGTTGTGTTGTTTTTCGGTATATGCATGCTGTATACGCAGAAAAACTGGTGTAGATAGAACATGTGTATGACTCACTTGGTCTCGCTTGTTTGGGTATTGTTTGTTTCTCACAGGTCTTGGTTTTAAGATGTTTTAAGTAACACCCGCCACACATTGGGTGAAACAAAGTCAAACATCTTAATTGATCTTAGTTGTTGTTTTTGGAATATTCAGAGACTTTTGGTTGATATATTATCAAACTACTTATTGAATGTACTGCAGAATATTGCCTAAGCAATCTAGGGGTTAGCCCGCGGGAATCCTGGCATTGGTAACCCTTAAACGAATCATTTGGTGGTCTGAATCATGTTACAAGGATGTTTTGGCATTGTAATGCAACCACTAAACCACTGGTTGCTCCCTGGAATTGCGTTGCGGAGCTTTGACTTTAGACAGCCTCACTTGTTTGAGGGGATGAGGGTACACTGGCACATCAAAGTAACACATACTTAGAAGTAGAAGTGGCTGGTCAAGCAGCCCCATGTTGTCACATATCTTCTCATGGGTGTAAAACAAGTCAGTCGATCAGAATAGCCTTAAACTCTAAAGGGTGTTTTCGGGAGCCAGTTTTGGTCTTTAAACTCTAAAGCCTTTGTCCGTGATAACTCTCATCTCAGATGTGTTGTTTTAGATCTACTGCAGTGGATATAAAGTTATATATAACTTATAACGATACATACAATATACGCTACTATTGAAGACTCAGTGCCTCCCTTCATGCATGCAAGGTACAGTCCAAATTCCGTGAACCCCGAAAGCAAATGTGCAAGAACATCCATGTTCATCCCCCCTCAAGCATCAACAGCGGAAATGATTCTTGATACATATCTTGATACCTTGCTTATGGGAGTGGGGAGGAATAAATTCATCTGTTTAGCAGATCCGGTCCTCCCACAAAACACATACTTCCTTTCAAAACGATGCTCTTGAGATCGCAACCAAATGATCCCAACCAATCGCTACCAAAGAAAAGCCAAGCTGTTTGATCTTCATCGATCACTCGGTGAAGAGACTTCATCGTTCTTTTTCTGGTTCCCGTCGGCCGACTGTTCCCTCCTTGTGATCCGTATGGCCGATTCAGGGCTTTTCACACACACCCCAAACAATGCCACTTGCTTTTCGTTTTGGCACTCCATTTGCCGCCACACTCCGCGGGCACGCCGCGGACCGCGGGGGTCCCGCGCGAAAGGTTTAGCTCCCTGGGACCCCATGCGGCGATGAGGCAAAGACTACGAGCTGAGAGGTCGAAGTGCAGGTGCCTGCCGCCGTCGCACGGTGCTGCGTAGGTGTGAGGTGTTCAAGCGAGGAGGTGTGAGGCGTGCAGGCCCTGTTTTTGTGTTGAGGTCTTTCCGGATGTTCAGTTGTACCAGCTTTCAAGCGGTCACCAATCAACAACCCTACGCTACTTTTAAGTCTCCATTAGGATGGACACCCATTGGAAGCATGGTTTAATAATACTTTGGAGTTTTACTGTGGTTCCTCTCGAGGCCATGAATCGCCGGCCACTGGCGAGGTCTTTTTTGCAGCCCAACAGACCTGTTTCCATGTTCAACTGGGTATCGATGTTCGTGCCACGTTGACACATGTTTATTCAATGCATGCCAATGCATGGTTCGTGCAACCCGGCCGAACTGACAAGCCCGCTGACATACAGAAGTCCCTGTCGAAGCTCATCCAAAGCAGGAGCTGTTGCCCAATTCTATACCGTATAGACTCCAAAAGTCTCCAAATCAGTGCCCAGCCCGATCTGAAGCAAATCCAGGTGGAAAAACAACTGTTATTGTGGTGGTCATTTGCAAACACGTGAGGACAATCTCAGTTCTTCCTGCATGGTAAACCCTTTGTTTCACAACATGAACTGGCCAGTCTGGCTTCATGTCGGTCCATCCTCCTTCCACCCACCTTTTCGGGTTAAGGGCACGGCGCGTTGTCTGAGCACGCCCGCATGACCGCATTCTTGGATTTCAAGCACTTGGCAGGGACCTGAGAGGAGAACATCGGAGAAAGATTCCACTCAACGAGGAAGCATGGAGCATTCTAGTTAGGAGCCCATCGCTAGTAGGTTGGAGGCCATCGCTAGTAGGTTGGAGGCCATCGCTTTTAGGTTGGACGCCATTGCTTCTAGGTTGGACGCCGTCACTACTAGGTTGGTTGGATGGAGCATGGAGCGCCGCGCCAAGAGCTTTTTGAGGCCCAAGCCTCGGACCAGGGAGTCCAGCCAAATTCATACACCAAACCCAAATGGTTAGAATCTGGATTAAAAGACTCCAGGCCTGAAGAGGTTCCGATCCAAATTTAGAGGTGGTATTTAATATGGTTATGGTTGATGTTAATCGATTGGACCTGCGGAGCCGCAGGTTCTTTTGACTTTCGAGCAATGCCAGGAGCGTAGACCCGAAACCAGACTCAATCGCATGGATTTTAATGCCCCCGACTTGCTTCTCACAAGGGGTGTGAACTCCTCCTGGACTACAGATGTGAGGGTGGCAATGCACCAAGGGTTCAATTGGCTCAGTTTATACTGTATGTGTTGTCATTGGATATTGTAGGGCTAATTTGTGCACCAAGAGTTGTGCAAACAAATATATTAGATGTTGCAAAACCAAACTATCGTGGGAACGCGTTTGTTAGTTTGCTGTTTACTCTGATCCTACGATCAACTCAGCTGACCGTTTTCCATCTTGTTTTGTGAAGATCAGCTAAAAGTCGAAAGAATTTGGCTGTAGAGTGGAGTAGCATCCACTTCCAAGTGACTCTTCCAAGTGACTTGGGGAAGAGCTCCACTTTTGGGGTCCCCCGGATCACGGATCGGTCCCATCCCCACTGGGGAGGACGACAAAGGCTCGATAGGTGAAGCCCGCCATCCGCACCACCACTTCCACTTGCAAATCGGGATCCACCTCATCAGCTGGGTGTCTCAAATGTCTCAGACGCTCGGACATCATCCGTCACCGTTCGGGTCCGGTCGTTCGATCGGTGGGGAGGCGACTAGTAGTAGCGATCCCCTTTGTTCCGTTCGTAGCTTCTTGTTACTAGTAGTAATGCCAGGAGCTAGTAGTAGCGTCCTTGCTCGTAGTAGCGATTCCCTTTGTTCCTAGTAGCTTCTTGTTGTTTCATTCAAAGAAGTTAGATGGCATGCTTGCCCGATACCATAGGGATCCACGATCCACTGATGATGTGAGTGAAATGGTCTTTTCTGCTGGTATAGGGTGAATGCAAATTGATTGATTAACCAACGAACCGGGCACTTGGGTGTTGCACAATCCATTACAAAATCACAGTGTGTGCTTCCCACAATTTGACCAAGCTAACATTGTGTTTTTGAATCATGAAGTAGCACATGTCCGATCCAAAAGAGGACTATATCATTATTATAGGACTATAGTTCCTGTGTCAGCAGGGCTAGTTGAACATATTATATGATAATACATGCTAATACAGTAACATGTATATAAAGAATATATTGAAATCGCATGAAATATCCCATGTCATCAAACTAGAAAGAAGGAAATTCATAGAACCCTGGAATCTCAAGAAGATTCCGAACCAGGTTCGTGTAGGAGTTCGCACGTAGACCTACGCCAGGAGTTCGCACCATTTCCTTTCCATGAGGGCTTGGAGAGGTACCCTTCATCTTAAGAAAAGAACCTTTCTTGTTGGGTATATAAACTGTTGAAAGATCCTAAAGATCTGAGCATACTGTCTGTCTGTAGCTTCCAGCTTTCCCGAGAACACAACGAACAACACACGAGGAAAAACCCTTGTTGTTGGCTGTTCATGTTCTCCAAAACGAAAAAGACAGAACACATCATGAACTAAATGACATCTCTCTGCTTGGCTTGTCGTTGTGCGTGACTTTCTCCAAAATGAACGCCATTTCTCCACATCTCACAGAGTGCCGACCTTCCCGGGTGACCCGACGTCTTTGAAGCCCAAGCGTTGACCCGGAGTCAAAGACTGGCGGATCAAGGCAAAGTAGCGTAGGTGTAGGCGTAGGCCAGGCATGTTGCGTGTTCGTTGGGGGGAAGTGGTGCTCCATTTTTTTGCGCAGGTAACACTTAAAGAAGGAGACAGGGAGATCACTTTTTGTGAAAGCTGAATGAATCTGTCTTGGTGTTTGGTCCGAAACATCGGGGTGCTCTCAATCTTGAGCCAAACCTGTCTAATTTAGCATTGATTTGTGTCATGATGTAATAGTGGGGATTAGATCGGGGTCCCTCTTCTTGCACCCTAAGCATGCTGGCAGGTCAGCAAGCCACATCCGCAGCCTTCCAACACCCCCAGTCCCCATACACCAAAAAACAAAATAGGTCTTGGGACTGCACCCCACTGGGACGGTACTGGGATTGAAGATTCAGTTCGTTCAGGTCAACGAGGCGCGTAGGACGGTCCATCCACTGAAGAGTCGCTTCATCCATGGCCCAATCAAGTGTCTTGTCATGCCCAAATCTTCCCGGCTCCCAGCTCAATACTGCTCAATGTTCCCAGATCTTTCACTGTTGCCATCATTCACTCGGTTCCCGACCGGAGTTTGGTTGTTTTAAGAAGTCCCATAGCTGACCACAATCCACCAAACGTCAGGAAATGGCTCACCTTTCACCAACGAACCTCCCGTTCACCTTTCACCAACAGTAAGGAAAAGTAAGATATATATATATATATACTGTAAGTAAACTCTTCCTATGCCATCCGACTTCATAGATTCCCCACCCAAACTCCCTGAAATCATGGTGAAACCCTCCTCAAACAGCGAAACACCTGATGTCAACCATCCCTCGATCCCTCTGAGGTCAACCATCCCCACCGATCTGCCTGTGTGTGGGCCTCCGCTGTGTCGGCCTGGCAAGTGGCAGCGAGATTCTGAAACCGCGGGGTCTGGGATTCGCCAGCAGAAAGGTTCTATGTTTGAATTCTATACAATTCTATGTATGCGTGCATATATGTATAAAACGATAGTATATACAGTACATGTACAATAAGCCCACCTACAATAGAGACCCGAATGACCAAAAAATCCCAAGTTCCTGATATCTTGGGACTCCTGTAATCTACTGAGTGATCGTGCTTCACTGCCCATCCCTGCTGATGAATCGCTATGTGATCTGCGACGCTCAAATGATCTGCGACGCTCAAAGGCTGAACCTTCGAAAGGCAGTGACTCAACGGATGCAGGATGCTGACTGTTTGAATGGCATCGGCTGCTAGTAGTAGTGCCCTTGTTACTAGTAGCGATGCCCTTGTTACTATAGTAGTGATGCCCTTGTTACGAGTAGCTTCTAGCTATCCGATTTTGGACCCAAAAGGATCTCCAAACACTGCCAACTGCTCAAGAGCGCCTCCTGAATGACCGCTTCATGCCGACCAGACTGTGGCGGCCTCTGCTGAAAAAAAGAGAAGCCAGTGGCCGTGTGTCCAATCAATCATGGATGACCTGCCAGGTTGTTGTCGGATTCACCCCTGATGTTTGTTGCAAATCATACCCTAAACCCATTGATTTGGACACATCATGCCTCCCAAACATCAACAACATCACCATATGTACACAGTAGTGATTGACCGTCTTCCAACAACAATTGCAAAGGTCTGACATGGTCTGACACTCTCAAATTGATCTGGATGTTCTGGACAAAAACAACAATTATATCATTAAGGATGACCTGGCTAATACAAATTAACCATTATGACTTTCAGCCCCCCCCAAACCCAAATGGCTAGCCGCAGCCCGGTGCTCCACGCACATCGTTTTCTCCGAGTGGCTCTGGCTCAGGGAAGTCAGCGCTTGGCCGGTCCGTTCGTGGGCCGCAACAGCGCACCACGGTGCTCCACGTGCGGTCGCCATCGCTCCTGGTCCGACGTGTTCCCGTTCACGGATCGGTGACGGATCGGGGTGGCGGGGGGGGCCAAAGGATCCACGAACACCACCCCCTGGCATGCAACTCCTGGTAGGGAACTGACCTCATGACATGTAACTCGTTGGCGAGTCAACACTCTGCAGGTTTCGAGCTTTGGACCGGTCCAGGTCCAGGAACCCGGACCTTTCGGTTAGACTGGGCGTAGGGATCACAGACTCGAAGCACCTCCATGGAACTGGAATACCTCGGTGTCAGACGTCAATGTAGCTATACCAGGACCCTCCAAGGGGTGTCTATTTATAGCCCCTTAGCCGTTAAGGGGTGTGCATTAACCACCCCTTGAAGGTCCTGGTATATATATAACTATGTTTTTTTACATGGAGTGCCGGGGCATTGCACATGCGGGAACATAGCCTCAAGCAAGTCTTCCAAATTGTCAATGTGCCGAACCAATGATACAAGGAAGAACAACTCCAGCCGACTGCACCAATGCGCAAAAGAGGTTTAGACTCCATCGCACCAACTCAGTGTTTGATTGCTTGGACAGTTCTCCACTGAGCTCAGGTGCTTCATTGTGAAATCCAACACTTATATAACATTATGCAGGTGTATTGCCCTGATGAGTCAAATTCTGATGCCCTTCTCACCCTCCCATCGAGGGAGTCTCACCTCACACCCAGCCCTTTTGGCCGAAGATTCCCGGGAGGTCTCACCACTCTCCGTCTCTCACCTCTCTCCGTCTCATCCGTTCTTAGTCTGAGGGTCCCTGCTTGGCATCACTCAACATCAGGAACTGGTGTGGCACATTCCTGCGAAACGTGTCGTGGAAAGCGAGGTGGCGAATATCACCTGAAAGCGAGAAACACAAAGAGATGCCCCAAAGAAAACACGGGCAACAAAAAGTATTGGCTATGCTGTTTACTGCTTACTGAAGAACTAGTCCATATATAAATTGAGCTTTGACAGAGTCTCAGTAGTTACAGTTCCAACACGGATCAACAACTGTAAGATTCCTTTACTTGGAGGGTTCCCAGCTATCGAGCCACCAATCCATGGGTGCAAACCTCGAGCCCCTGAACCGGCAAAACCTCGGGCAGTTCGTAAACAATGCCCGGCCAGAGGGGCGGGCCTCCAAACTCCAAACCACACGAATTTTGAACAGCAGAATTCCAATGGAACATGACGGTAACCTGTACCAAGTGCCGCAACGGATAATATAGGACCGGATAACCTCAAACATATAAACAACTTCACCAGACACAGGAGCGGATACAGCACTAAAAACACCAACCCCACACGTCCATGTGGGGAATCAAAAACATTCGCCCCCTGGTTGGGGGAAGATGTGGCATGTGGCTCGTCCTCACATTCTTCACGGAGCACTCGAACTCACAAGGCAAGGCCTGACAGGTCGAGGCGATCTCTATGGCTCGTGATCCAGGCGATCTCGTTTGGAGACCTTGAAGAAGGGGGGGGTGATCCGTTTGGTGGAATCATTGGATGGTCCACCCCCCTTCTTCACCCCCAAATGGTGGAATCACCCCTCAAATGGTGGAATGATCTTTATGTATCTTTATGTCCTCAAATGATGGAATCATTGGATGTCCCATGATGGTCCTGTAGATGTTTCTTTAGGAATCTGTCCTGCCAAAGAAGAGGCTTCAGCACAGTAGATAGTAGATATATGTAGATATCAAAAAACTTGGAACACCTGTAAGATCCGTGGTTCCAAAATCCACAAAAACTAACCTGTCAATTGAGCATGGCCTTGGGAACACCAAGGCCAAATTGTTTGTGCCTTCTATTGCCTGTCCCCAAACCATCCATGATACATGGGACTGGAATGGTTAAATTTAGAGCCATAAACGGGGTAAACGGGAAATGTATGTTAATGTATGCAACTATTGCAGTCCCACGGATGGTTTGGGTATGGCCCATCTCAATGTCACTTCCCCTTTCACTTTCAAATCTTACACACACCTCCTGCTTAGGTTAAACAGGTGCATCTAAACGTCAAGCATCATCGATCACTCCGTGGTTTCTGCCAAAAAGAAGATCCGACATGTTTCTGGCTCACAGTCTTCCGTCTTCGAACCCAAAGCGGCATGCTTCATGTTCGCCACAGTGGTGCTTTCCAGGGCTCCGAGCGTTCAGGACCGACAGCATCGGCACGCACACCACCTGGCCCCGAGGTGAACGGCGCCAACACCGGCCGGCGCGGCCTGAGGCCTGAGGTTTGGCGTGACGACCCAGGTACGGAAACCACTGAGAAAGTATAGGTATCTGGACCTACCTTTTTAAGAGGCCATATATAATCACATATGGACCTACTTGTGAAGGCAACATGATCATGCTTGGTCAAGACTCGAGAGCACTGACTCACATGATCCCTAAACCCAAAGTTCTCAACCCCCCTAAGCCTGCTGCTGGAAAGAACATCCAAGCGAAACCACGCCTGCTACAGTAGTATTTGCGACGAACAAACAAGCGTATATTAGATTGAAAAAAGGATCCGGAATGTCCGACATGAATCATCAATCAAATCCAGTGAACTCCTGCGATCCATGATCATCTACCAATCCAGCATTCCAGGGAGACCTCATTGAAAGTCCTATCATCAAACAATCCAACCTTTTGAACTCTGGTGGTCAAAGCTCAACACTACAAATCCATGGACTGTTCATGGGTGTGTCTCGGATGCACTGCGGAAGCACTCGGCCACACCACACCATTGGTGACAGAGCTACCAGGGGCAACTCAGGAGGTTTGGGATGCAACATGGACATATGTGAATCATTGTGAATCTATCGTGTATATTGGAGAGGAGATCTGCAACGCTATAAAAATGGAAACACTTGCAAAGGCCACAAACAAACAGTAAACCATCTTCTATGACATATTCCAAATGATTCCAAATGCATGGCTTCTACATCTCAAACATGCCCTTCCTCACCACTCGATCCCTTGGTTCGTTCTTCTTGCGTCCCTCGTGCGCCAGCAGTACCTGAAAACATGAGCGATTGGCTCCGGGCGCAGATGACACAAACTGAAGACGTAGATCCATTGCTGGTAGCGTTTGGGAACTTGGATTGGCCCATGGGACCCCTGCAGGGTGAGGTGGATTGCGAGCCTTGGGAAAAATTGAAGGAAAAAGATCCATCTATATATCCGAGTGGACGTGCGAGGCCGACAGGCCCCGGCCAAATATGACAAGATCATCACAAACTCCGTCTAGTTGAGGAAGTGGACTTGACAGGAACGCACACTCCACAAGTCTCCGAGATTCTACAGCAAAGCAGGCTTTCCAATGTCCACTCCCATGCATCTTGGGCCCATCTTTATCCCAAGCAGAACATCTGCGGCCCAATCTGCAGGGTTGAGGCCCCTACAGTGTGATGGACGATTTTTACAGACCTTCTGGGGAAGAAACATGTGATCTCCAGTCCAAGCCAACAAAATAGCTCATCCTACGACAAAAAGTATGTGCACTGGTATGTGCCTATTTAATTCATACGGTGAATACTCAAGAGGTCTATCCGAGCTCCGACCTGCAAAAGCAAGCAAGGGCCAGCAAGGTGATTGAAACTCAAGAGTCGTGAATGTGTTTCAAGTGCGTTGTATTCAGAAAAATGTTGCATCAATTTCCATGGTCAGCGATTTTGCTTGAGGAGGGGCAGCCAATGGAAAAAAATATCACTTGCGCACCGAGCACTCACTTGAATACCAAACATCCTCAGAAATTGACCTGAGTATTGACCTGCTCAGTCATCTATAGCCATCTGAGCCAATGTCATAGATCCAAAAAAAGAACAAAACATACACAGCTTTCCACACAGTGGGCTTTTGCGGAGCACGAAGCGAAAGCCAGCCAAGCGCTCCAAAAGCTTCTCCTTATCGTCCAAAGGGTCAGAATCTGTCGGCAACTTGGCCTCGACGGATTCTTCGATGGTTCGAGTCTCGAGTCTCTTAAGCCTTAGGCATCTCGAACAATCAAGAACACATAGCTTCCAACCTAGAAGCAATGGCCTCCAAGCTAAGAGCAATGGCCTCCAACCTACCATCAGGAACATCAAATATGATAATAATATGATCAAATTGTGTCATGATACTCCATGAAACTGGAACATAGGCCTACATTCACCTTGAAACCACCCCAAGATATGTAGATAGGCCATGCATGGAGTGTCTGGGTATGTCATGACCGGTTTGTCTTTGTTGGTGGGTACTTTGGGCCAAGCAAACGATACAGAACATGCACGAGAAAGTACAGTATTCATGGTGTATTCTATACTTGCTCACCAGTTTTCATACTGTATTCATGATGTACCAGTACAGTACAGTGTTCATGGTGTACTTGAACATTCACCTGTTTTCTATACTTCCTTTCTCTGGGTGATTCTTTCTTGGAAAACATACTGTGCTGATCTGGGAGCGTTTGCGACCTGGGACTTGAGAGCATGTCATATCGAGCATCCAGCATCCATTCCCCAGGGATCCACATACCTTCTCAGAAGGTACGACTGGACCCTCCTGTTGCCTACATAACAGTGTCTCCAATCACCTTCTCAGAGGGTACGTGGATCGCTAGGGGTTCTATCCTGCTGACGTGCACGCTGGCCTTGAGAACACAGCCAAAAACGACATGCCACAACTCGACTGCTGAACCTTCACAGGCACTACACTTGATAACACTTCTGGGTATGTCTCTTCACATGAGCATCTACCAAAACGTAATGTCGAGTCCGGTAGAGGACATGATTCAGCCAGGTTATGGCTTCCAGGTTTTAGCCACATGCACAATTCCTGAAAATCACGACCACTCTGTAGTAAATTAGTCATTGCACATTTTGGTGCTTGCTCACATGAAGCAGTCGCACACTCCTGAAGACAACACCTGTGGATCAGGCTTCTCACCGGCGCCTTGAAGTGTCCATGCTTGTCCAAGGGCAATGTGACCTGACACAGTCACACCCTGCTGTCGGACCATCGCGAGTCGAGTCAGAGTGGCTACACGTAGTCAGAATCATGTGCACTTGTTTGTTTGTGATGTATTATGCCCCTGCTCATGACCTGGTAAAAGTCAACATCAACCACAAACAAAAACATGTCTGAAGAAGATCAAACCTTCCACGTCACAAAAGACCGTCTTACCAAGCCTTTGGGCTTTGAACCTGTGGCCGCGTTCTTCCCGTCAAAAGTCTCAACAAGACGGTCATCTCCCAGGAAAACCGCGAGTCACCTCCATCCACCCTAGGAAAGACGGTCGTATCACCTCCAAAAGTGACTATTGACTTAACTGGTTGCAAGAACTCTTCCCGTCATTGAAAATAAGAGCACTGGAGAATTCAATCCTGGAGAATACAGGGAAACATGACATACCGAAACCTTCGGAAAGCAAGAACTGAGCACCTTTTCAAAGAGGAAGGTGCCTGACACATGTGACTCTTGTCAATTCTTCTCCTTGTAAAGGATTGAATATGGGTGACCTGTTTGAGAAAGCAGCTGTTTTCATCCCAGGTCATTGGCGTTGCTTAGCCTTGGTTAGGACATGGATGGACATTGCATGGGGCTCCAATAGCCTGAACAGCCGGACCTGCAAGTGACGAGGGTTGAGATACAGAAGTCTTGAGATAAAACAGCAACAACAACAACAGCCGCAGCCACAACTACGACGACGACGACGAACGACAACGACAACGACAACGACGACAACAACGACAACATCAAAAAAAACAAGGACAATGACAAGGACAACGACAACAACACAACAAAAACAAATACAACAACCACAACCCCAACATACCACGTTCACCTGGAGGTATCCTCTCTATTAATGCACCACAATAAACATCAATAAACCAACTATAAGGCCATGCAGTTGTTGTCTTATGTTGGGCGATGGCAGCCATACATGGCCAACCATCAAATAGTTTGTTTTTTTTGTGAAAAAAAAGTGAAAAAACAGCAAAATAAAAGCAAATGAACATGCAAAAACAAAGCAAAAAGCAAAAACAAAGCAAAACAAAAAGCGAATAAAAGCGAAAATAAAGCGAAAAACATGCAGACATAAAGCGAAAAAAAAGTGAAAAAGAAGCGACAAATATGTTTTTGTTGTACCCTCCTAGGAAAAAAACGAAAAAAAAAAGCAAAAAAAATGCGAAAAAAATGCGAAAATAAAGCGAACAAAAAAAGTGAAAAAAAAACGACAAATACGCGCACAGCTACATTTTTTTTGCTTTTTTGTTTGCTTTGCCTTTTGCTTTTTTTTTGCTTTATAAAACTATTTTGGCTCCTTGTATCTATGGCTGGCGTGCCCGACATAATTGTTGTCCCTTATAAGCTCTTTTTCTGGCAAACGCTGCAAACGCTAGAAGTCTCCTGGAGCAGTATCAGGTGATCTGGACCAGCCAATCGGGTCATGTTCATGGCAGACATTGCTCGCCAAAATGCACGGATTTCTCTTCGGGCGCTCTTCGGACGGTCCGTGCAGCCCCTGCCATGCGTTGCCGACCTCAGACCTCGTTCGCCCCGAGGTCCTCGACGAAAGAGTCGCTCTTCCCTCGAGGTGATCGACGAAAGAGTCGCTCTTGCCTCATAGCCACCACCGATGCCAGCATTCCAAAGTTGGTACCTGGGTCGAGAGCGGGTCACCCGAGAGCACGTAAAGTAGCCCTCGAGGTAGAGATGAGGAATCACTCCTGCTCCTTTTTGGAGCAGCTTCCACCTAGGGTCGGTGGAACAAAAGAAAACAAGCGCCATTCAACATTCACCAGTTTCAAAAACGAGACTTCACTGGGGCACGGTTCGAGTTCCAGTGTTTGCTCCTTGCCCTCGCTGTCCTTGCCCAAACCTGAGGATCTGAGGGCAGTTCTTAGAACGGAATCGATGGTTGACGCTGGTGCTGCGACTCTTTGTGACTCTCTGCAACGATAAATTATATCCGAAGCAGACACCTTTGACGATTGAACAAGCTTCAAAAGGAACATCCAAAATTGGTCTCATCTTCTATTGGCTTCCGTCTTCGTTGAACCCGTGGATTGACACCATGGTATTCTTGGACATTGCATCTTAAAGTAAATGTACTTAGTACCAGGACTACCACTGCATAAATGTTCACTCCCTACGACCAATGTCGCTAAACGCTCAGAGGTCTTTTGGAGGTCCTTCACCCACATTGCAATAGAGCAGAAACATGTTTCACAAAAATAACGGGGATGCGGGATGCAGTTATATTATACAGTAACATACAGTGCAGTAACTATAATGATCCCCAAACCAACAACATTTGGATGATTTGGACAATCATGGATTACCATATTTTGAGGTGGGCAGGAAAATGCACCATCCATCAAACCGTCCGCAAGGAAGAATACACTTCCTGCTCTGCTTATGGGGATGATGAGTCATGCTTTTCTCCCAACCATCCCAGTAGTACTTGAGAGTAGGATCAAAACAGTGTACATGAAGCACTGCATCTAAATAACTATATAATTATAGGTGTCGATGCACCACTGCTGAATGGGATAGTCATCAAATTTGCTCTGCGGTGATGGCATATGACATCTCATCTGCAGCACCCTCCGCATCCCTGCGCCATCTGCAACCCAAGCTACACACGGTCAAGTTACTGCTGGTCATGTTTTCAAGCAAACCGATGCCGCTCCTGGGCCGTGCGATGTTTCCAGGCTCGACCTCCCTCATGGCCAGGCCCATGAAGGCCCATGGGCACACGGGAGCCGAAGTTTGCCTAGAGAAAAGTGCGAGCACTTCTTCAAGGAAGCTCCCCTCAGCGGAGCTTAAGCTTCCTCGAAGAAGCGTTTGAGCTATCTGACGCACTCTAGGTAGTAACTTACTTAAGCTACTAGCTACATCTAGCTACCTGCTACCGCTTCCTATAGCGGCCTACACCCCTTCCGCTAAACCACATAAGTACCATGTTGTTCCTCGTCGATTTGTATGTCGCGCAAGAAGCTGGACCGTATGAGCCAAGTTAGGGACCCAAGTTGTGCTTGGCTTCAGTCGACTTCTTCCGGTAGTGGGACCGTCGAGCCTATGTACCGTAACTTCATAGCATGAGGGGAACGGGGCCACCTGCAAGGGACAGGGCTGCCCTTTTGTCAGATGTTCAGTAGCGCAAGCGGATTGGCAAATCTGCCATCCTTGAAGCCTTCATTGAAGATGATTTACCTCGATGGAATTGTCTCCCAAACAAGGCACCAACTCACCACAAGGTGAAGGCATTCCTCTTCTCCTATGGGTAGAAATATTGGGTATAAGATATCGTATCGTATAAGTCTAACTAGATTAATGGATAAGTCCGAGTTCCCCATTCAGAGAAGAGGACACATCGACCATGCAACACCTACTGCTTTGCACTGAAACATGTGAAGACAATGGGGCCGGCGTTTAGGAAAATATGGAAAAAGGATCGCACAACAAAATTGCACAAAGGTCGTTCTACCCAGGATGGTGTGGTCACTATCTGGTGATTCTTGGTCGTTATTGCTTTACATCTAGATCATCATAGATCCAACTTCCAACCCACAGTAAGATCTCCTTTGAGACCACCTACCATACAAACATATGCAAACCATGGTCCTTTCCCATGGTTAGCTTCTTCGATGGACTCAAATCGGGCCTTTGGAAAGCCGAGCAAGCAAATCATCCCACATCAATGGACGGAGAGTTACACATCTTGGAGCCTGATGAACCCTTTTCCCACTGCCTAACACCCATTAGAATCCCAAGGAAAACGATCCATTCAATGAGATATCATGAGATACATTTGCTGCTTCATCATGCTTCATCACCCGCCTTGCACTTCCTCACCCGCACTTCCTCGACCATTCCACGTCATGGCCGTCCAACCAAGGCTCAGGGAGACAATGGGCGCCAGTAGTCGGGCGTCCACTGAGAAGGTGACGCACAACCAGTTCTGTCGCTCCACGCGGAGAATCCTCCGGCAAACTTCCGAAGCAGCTGTTTGAAGCAGATACCTTGCGGGTGCTTCATTCAATAGACTTAATAGACTTCAAGGCTACATGTATCATCAGTTAGGCAGCAACACCCTGGTCTAAACCCGGCTCTTCTCTTGCTCTACAAGTACTCACCTCGCCGTTGGAACCTCGCCGATTGGGCCCATAAATAGATAGAAACAAACTGTGTCCAGTGCAGCTTGAAGTATCTTGAAGATTCTTGAAGTGAAAATCATGGACTCATTGACTTTCAGTATCGTCCCAAGTTTGGTAGCATCGAACGTCGATCTCCACATCGATCCACATCTTTGGTGGTACACTAGTGTACATACGTAATACTCGTTGTACTACTCGTGGTCACGTAGGCCGTACATCTCATTCATCTTGGCCTAAAAGAAGCAATGCCTGGGAGTGTATGAACCTCGCGAGACCTCCACGCCGCGTGGCGAAACCTCCCTGGCTTCGCTTCGGAACACCCAAAAACCCGAAGACCCCGGTTCGCCGGGCCACGGGCCATCACGGGACATCACGACGTGCGCTGTCAAAGCAGCGCCCGGCCTTCCCCCTGCGCCCCGGCCGTAAGTATACCACCTTCGACGCGCCAGGCTGTCTCCCTCCTTCAACACCATCCACACCGCTTCTCCGGATCGACCCCTCAACCAACCCGAGCGATGTCCGGCTTGGTTCACAGGTGTCTTTTGGACGGGGGCCGTTCAGCAGTGACCCGCAAACGGCGGACCCGAGACTGGAGACAGACCTGTCTGCTCGTGAACATGATCCCATGATATGGCTATGCTGCGTGCCCCTACTGATCCGTAAAGAAACATGCAGCGCCAAGATGAGGAAAACCAGGAAAACAGCAGAAGAATGCCAGCGCCTGCGTCCAGTGGTGCTGAAGGGAAGTTCTTGTCCTTGTTGCGAAGAGGTCGGGCGCTGTTTTAGGTCTTCTGTGATCCGTGAAAAGCACCAAGTGCGTGCAGCAAAATCATGCATGCTCTAAACTCGTAAAAAAGAACATGCATGGTTCCTTTTTTTAAAGAGGTACCAATAATTATAGGTGTAATGTCAGATAATTGGGGCCACTTCATTGAACCAGCCGTTAAACAATGGGTCATGTCGCGGAGGGGGTCGCACATGTCGCCTTCGGATGGCTGTGGAAAACACGGATCCTTTCCGAAGACATAAAGAGGAGTCTGAAAGTCGCAGCATGCAATGAACAACAAAACAAGTGGGACTTCACCAATTGGTGGAGTATGACTCAGTATGACTCGCATGTTCTTCATGCAGAATCTGGCATCCATCAATCACTTGCGTCATTCATCGTCCTCCTCACTGTGAAGAGTGCATGGTGGCATAGTGTTTCTTGTTGTGCTTGCAAACCCGTAGAGTTGTATGAGAAAAACTGATGTTGGGTGAAGAGTGGGCATTATTAACTAGTGCAACCAATGCGAATGCAGCGAAGGTGTACATCAAATCCAGAACATGAAAACTCAACAAAAACACTGGATTTGATGCTCTGGATTCGATGTACTTGTATTGTTTGTACATCAAATCCAACACTGGTCAAAGCCAATGGACCTGGACTCATCACCCGTTTCCGCAAGTCTCCGCTCCCCACCTGCCCATCCCATCGGTTCGGCCGCCCGAAAGCGGCCGAACCGTTGAACAGGTTCCCGGGCGAACCCACCAGCCGCCACGAAGCTAGCGGTGCAGCGAGGATCACAGAGCTGGTGGGTCGAACTTTGTTTTCCGTTCATCCAATTCGTCAACAACTGGGTGAGGTTCTTTCTGCTGGTGCAGGTATTTGCATGTGTTTCACATGGCCCGAGGCACGCACGTATTGCATGATCACCACATCCACCAACAAGAAGAGACACATTTGTTGAGTAATTCACGGACTTGATCTGTGGATTGGGCAGATCGGGACCTATTTCATTTCCAACTATGTAAATCTTGTTGGTAAAGGCTTATCCAACTGAAGCGTGGCAAATCTTTGTCAGGTATAAAAACAAAACACATCAAGTCTATGGTCAAGAGTTGCTGTGGCACGCATCAAAAGTGGACGAAATCATAGACCTGTAGGAGTTTGATTCTGTCAACTTTAGTGGTTGTAACTACCCAGTGGTTTGATCAACACGACACTCCCGACAAAGCGTTGATGCAGGTCAAGCGGGTTGTGGTGTGTGGTTTGAAACCCTTTAATGCACTGTTCTTGTTCTTGCGCGGGAGCAAATCAACTTGCCACAGTTGACCATGTGCTGGTCTTTTTGAAAGCACCTTCAATCCAACCGATGAACCCTAAACAATGTCAGGTTTTTGGTTTCAACATGTTCCAACCCCCAATGGAAAGTCCTATGCTTGACGCGTCAATATGATCTGCCCAAACACCACCGCGAAAAGCGTTTCCGGTGCCTCCATCTCCATTTCCAAGACCCAGCCACTGCTGGTGCCCACACTCAACGGAGCACTCTTGGTGGCGAGCTCTAAAGCCACTGGCTCTTGGTAAGCCCAGCCTGAGATGCTCAAAACACAAACACGCACACGCGTGTTAATGGGCCGAATGCTGCGGATGGGATGAAGCCCCATCTGAGCTCCTCCCTTACCCAAACATCTTAATACACAACCATCCCAACCACACAAGGCTTGCACAGGCACAGGTAAGTGCAAAACACTGTTTGTTCAAGTGGTTTTGGCTGAAACATCACCAGCCCGCTCTCTTATTCTATTGGGATAGGCGGATGGCTGCATGGCAAATAGTTTCCTTGGGGAAATACTATTCTTTTCATCTGGTGTAAACTTAGCTACTATAAGAAGGGCTTCAATTGCAATTTCAACACGAACCCTGCGCTAACGATGATTCAACCTCCAAAAGGTGATGCAACATTGAAGGGATTGGCAATCTGAGGACCTAACATCGAGACAAACAAATGCCACGTTCTCATAGAGCCCAATGACTTGAGAACAATCTCGAGTTAAACAAATTTTGCGACGGCCTCCAACCTAAGAGCGATGGCCTCCAACACGCGGGGTGTAGAAGAACAGCTGATATCATCATTTCATGAGGCTTTGCTGAGGCTTGCTGTCGCTTGGTTGATTCGTTCCCTACCTGATTTCAACGCGCATGTTTAGGAGAAGCTTGCATACAGTTTATGCGTTTTGATCCTGACAATTCAAAAATTCTACATCTTGAGCCTTGAGCTTGGCAAGCCGGAGCTGCGCGCTCAAAGTATCAGAGGCCATTAGCAAGTCCTCTTCTGAAGCGAAACTGCACTGCTTTTCTTTTGCGCAGCGCCACCGCTCACACACACCCATTGTGTGTGTGTGTGCAGAACACCTCTTCGCGCACAGGGATGCAGGATCCCAAGGCGCAGTTTACATCCGGTCCAGAAGGTATTGATTCTGCAGTGGGATGTTTCGCTAGCTGCCAACACTTGCTTGCAACGAAGGTTTGCAGCGGAGCTTTTGCGGAGTTCTACTTTAGGATCGGGTTCTATGTCGCTCACGTGGCCAGAGTTTCTCAGTCAAGTGTTCTCAAGTCGCACAGGTGTCACAAGCCAAGTGAGTTTAGATACGCACCTTTTGGAAGTGCGCACGTGGGGAGGCACACCGTTTAGTTTGTCCAACATGCTACGCAGGCCCCACCAACAAAAGACAGCCCGTGCCACGTGTGAGAAACATCCTTGACAGAATTCAATTTCAAGGGCAGGTGCACATCCGTAATTAGTAGTAGTAGTCGTCATCGTCGTCGTCGTCGTAGTAGTAGTAGCCATGGAAGGAAAACAAACGAAGAATAGCATCAATAAACATTGCTTAAGAGGGCCAAAACAAAAACGCAACAAACAAAAAACAACAAAATTTCACATAAACTTTGTTCTGCGAGAAAATCGGTATAATAGCTATAGGGTTCTGAACCCGTCCGACGCCCGATCCGTTCCCCGATCCGAGGCCCCAACGGGAGATGGAGACGGGAGCACTTCCTCGGGTGCCCGCTCGAAGCCGGATCCCGAAACCGGACGAGAGTGGTTGGACCATGGTCGGGCGATTAAATGGACAGGTTCTGTCTCTGTACACTAAACTGCACTGGTATATGGACAATCTGATTGCTAGGAACTCTATAACTATAAACTATTGTATATATATATATTGATAATAGTTGTATTACGATATCATATTGTATTATTTGTATTGTACAAATTTGATGTAATTCTTATTATATATATTATAGTGTACTATATTATATGCGCAATATATATATAGGTATATGAGTGATCGCCAAAACCTATCATACAAATTGTTATACTCCATAATGTTGGTTCGGCTTTTGGGAATTCGCTATATCGCTTTACAGGGTGCGGATGCCTTTGTTATATTTCTTGAGGATTTCTCTTGAAAACATAGCCAAATGACGTGCACATGGATATGGGTAGTGGGAGAGAAATAAAATAAGAAAGAAATAAAGAAAAAGAGACACACATACAGAGAGAGAGAGAGAGAACACTTTCCATTGACACATCCGCACTCCCTTCCCCCTTAGTCTATGCGGTTCTTTTTCTAGAGCTCTTCATCTGTGCCAGACTTCACAGGCACTGCGAAAATGATACGATCCGCTCATCTAGACCATATGTTTTTTCATTTTGATCATTTAGGGGTATCGCTTTGGCATCGCTTCATGTAAAGCGAACACAAAGCGAAGTACCGGAATGATTTGAATCAAATGATTGAAGTGTACATTGTGAAGGCATTGTGAAGGCATTGAAGGCATCGCTTTTGGGGGTTCACTATATCGCTTTGCAGGTTTTTGGATGATTTCAATGAAGGAGTTTCTCTCACATAAAGATTTGTGCTGACCCTTTAGGTCGTTGCCCATCGACCTGCAGCCCTCTTGCCAGTGAGGCCGGCCATTGGGACTGAACGCTAAAACATGCTAAAACCTTTCCCATCAAACACGTTTGAACCGAGCGCTGAATACGGCCAGGAGGACGCATAGAATGTATATATATGTATATATATATATATACACGTTTAAAGAGAAAGCTTTGGCAAAGAGTGACTAGTTTTTGTTCTTGATTACATTGGATTTGTGGGTTAGCCGTTTGGGGGAGATATGAGATAGTCGAAGAATATCTTGGGTTTGTAGTTTTGTGTTGGGACCAAAACAACAGTTGTGCTCCTCTCACCGGCAAAACCCCATGCCCATGCTGCTTTGAGGGAAGGATTTATTGTCTCCTCCCTATACTGGTCCTCACACTTTCGCCAAGCTTCGCTCCCCCTCAGGGTTTCGCACTGCTACCCGCACATCGCACAAGGTGCAGTTATAGACCTGCGGATCGGTTGCGGATCGGCACGCCGTTGCAAGGCGTAGGTACGGGCACCAATATCGAAGATGGACTTGTGGCACTGTGGCATTGGTGGAGTCCCCCAACACAGCTACTACAAGTAGCACCTCAGCTTCATCTGTCAAGCAAAGGTTGGCTGACGACTTTCTGATATGATCAGGCTCTGTGTATCTCTTTGTGATGTTCTATCTTCACCACATCAGAAAAAATCAGGGCCGGGTCAGGAACTTGACAGATTCCTCCAAGTATATAAAGTGCTGACAGGTGGATCGGAGCTGGGATACTCCCCCCCCAAAAAATGATCGGCTGAGCAATGCTCAGCTTTCTTTGCCCAAATGTTGGGTAGAACCCTCGGAGGCCAAATGGACTGCCTGTCAAAAGCAAACAGGATGAACAACTGGGATGGATTGGGATATACAGTCACTTGTCCAAAAAACCTACAATCAACTTGGACCCTGTGATCCACTCCATCCAGAGATGATGAACTGGGATTCTCAACCCCTACCATTGGATGTCCCTATTCCCCGTCCCTCCAATTCCCCATTCCCTTCGCTCCGCTGCGGAGCTTCGGCAACCCCGACCCAAACGGCCACCGGCGTCTCCGTGTGTCGCAACTCGACACCTTCGTCCTGGGCAGCGGGATGAGACGGTGGCAGCCCACGTCACGACCGTGACGGGCTCGGCAGCCCGTCGGAGAGCTGTCTGGGTCGACACCAAACACCAATTGTCTGAGAAATGTGGTGGTCTGGGGGGTGGGGGGTCAATGTAGGCATCAATTCCAGTCCTGTCGTGTTGGGGCAAAAAGGAGAGGGCCCAAGCGACTGTCCGGCATCCAAAGCTGCTCGAGAGAGAGAGAGAGAGAGAATGTCAAAGAAACACATTGACAGTCATTGACACAATAACGGTCGAGTTCTGAGTGATTAAGCTACAGCAATACAATACTCAGACTCAGAATACTCAGATTCCAGGTCCAGTGTATCCTAGATGTTGAAGACAATTGGCAGTGACATGTGGCTTCCGCTTGGGAGATTGACCATCAAAATTCTGTTCAATAATGGGGTAGTGGAGACGGGGAAACAGCTGAAAGATCATCATATCACAGGATTCACCCCAAAACATTCGATCTTTGCTGGTCATGTCGTTCTGAAAACCGGAAGGACTGCTGACGCGTGCGTGAGCGCTATAGTGTGTATCCTGTTTGAGCATGTGTAACGCGCCTTGGCGTCCGCCAGGGAATTCGATGCCACTGACAAGGCTTGGATCAAGGGAGGCGTCAGGTTTAGCACCTCAGCTGCTTGGGAGAAAAAGAACAGAATATTCGAAAGACAATTAATATCATCATGGGTGATTCTTAAATGTCGATCATATAAGAAGAAACACATCGGACCTTCTGGTCAAAAAGGCCCTAGCTTGGTGTTTGGTGGTGTTGAACCGCCGGTCGTTGGAACTCAAGTTCGGTGCTTTTCAAGGATATACCGTTGGAGGCAAGCCGATGCTAATATGTCCAGGACCGTGGATGTACGTACGAAAACAGGTCACAGGTCCAAACAGACCATCGAACAAGCTAAGCAGGCAGGATAACGACGAAAGAGTCACGTTAGACGGAGAGTGTATATTGCAAATGTAACCAATTTCCCTGAACACATTAAGACTATGGCAGGCGGGAGGTAACAAGTGGTGCGTCCTTGTCTTTCCGCTACGGGGAAAATTTGGCAAAGGTCCTTCCCGCCCATTTCAGCGGCATGTCTTGAAGTTGTCAGTCAGCACCTTCAACCCCTTATCAAACAAAACATGTTGTGTCTTTGGCTCTCACATCTATAGATTTGTTCCAAAACCGTTACAGTAACACACACAAACACATACATTTCTGCATAAACTGATGGGAGTCATCTGTGGCTTGAGGATGAGGAAACCCTACATGTTTCATGTGTTCAAAACATCCCAAGCCACCGTCATATGAACTCAGGTCAAAGCTAGTAGCTCTCCTACCCAACACAGGATTTTGGAAAACTGTTGAGGAAAACCCATTTTTGGCAGCCCTATCGACCATCTAGAGTACATCCACAACGATCCCTACAAGCATTGGTCATTTGGGAAACCATGGCACGACTAGACAGGCCGAGCTCTGACTCAGCAAACTAACTTCTGGATTGAAGAGTTGAATGCAAAGTGTGATCTCGTTTCAACAGGACTCACCTATTCCTCCTCTTTGAGGGATGGGCCATCGCCATCCATCCCCAATTCGATTAACAAATCGAAGAAATCGAATCACCTGGCAGTGAAGATGGGTGAACTACCAAATGGGTGAACTACCAGCTGTGATGTTTCGTCTTCCCCCTGACCAGATCTGGTCCTATTAGTCCTACCAACCGGTTTTGATCAACCTCCCCCAAACGTAGACGGGCCCAGCACAGCTTGGCGGCGAAAACGGGGATCCTCCCCACCCGGTCGTGCAGCTCCAGGCACTAAATGCTCTTCAGCTCGAAGACAAAGCCTCGGGTGCGATTCCGGAGCAGCCAGGGGGGGAAAAAGGGATGCCCCCCAAATGGATGGCATAGATGTTCATAGTCCATGTCCGCCCATATGACAACTAGATCTGTGACTTCCACATGCCTGTCACCATCTGGCAGGCGTTTGCTTACGTGTTTCCACCGCCTGTCAACCACGGTTGTTGATGCCTTTTTCACTCTTTACCCTTTTCTCATACCCAAAACCTCCCAACCAACCGGCACCTGTTCGAAGCCCGCCCCGCCCGACCGCGGCCGGTTAGGCCACCGCCCAGGGCTCTCCGGCGAGGCACAAGTGGGGCGAGGCAGAGAGTTGCAATCGCCAGGGCTCCACGAAGGGCTCGGTGATGCCGAGGCTTTGATTCCAATACTCAGCACCTCCGCGCGGTGGTGTGGTTGGAACGAATTATTGATTAATTCATGGGAGTATCATGGAGTATCTTGGATGAAGTCATCCAACATCCAACACTTGGTGCCGGATCATTCATCCCGAAACGAAGTCATCTAGATTATGAGAATCTGAATGGTTCTGACACTCCCGCCCCCGCCTTTTCGTCTTTTTTGGTGCAAAGAACGGATGAGAAATGTGATCAACTTCGTCGAGCTGGGGTCTAGTATTCTCTGGTGGTTGGTTTTGACATGTAAATATGAAATACCTGGACCCGACTTCAAGTAGCTGAGAAAATGGGACATGTGACACGGCCCAATAAAAAGTTACTTTGAGACTCCAGGTCCTCCAGGTATGGCTAAAGTGCATTCTCTGTCATTTTACTCATCATCGCTACACGTTGGAGAAAAGCACAAGCAGTCCAACACAGCTCTGTCTGTGCGGATCAGCTCAAACGTTCAACGGTACAAACATAAAGGGGATCATGCGCTTCCTTGAAGATTTATGAATTCAATATACTTAAGGTCCATATCACTTCGAACAAAACCCCGATGCTTTCGATGCTCCGCATGGTCCGAGAACCGAAGCACAGCTGAACCAGAAATCCCGTTTCGGACCCGAATCAATGAACCTGTCTGCTGTTTTGACATTTGCTCACACTCTCCCACAAGCACCTAGCTCGGCAGCGGAAGAACATCCCAAAAATGGTTTTCCCGGGTGCATGTGAATCTCTTTGGAGCCAGCCCATCGACCGAAATCGTTGACCATTTGGAAGTCCAAGAAGCTCAGTTGCAAGGATCCCTTCAAACCAGACTCCAAGGCTGCAATGCCCGAGCTCCCGCGACGAATGCCGCCCTGGGGAGATTGCACAAGGCGTCAGGTGAATTCTGACGGTAGCCCCTCCAGTGAACTGTGTGGAAATCGGTGAACACTGAAGCGAAATCAAGGGCCCTGAGCTTCAGGGATCACATGAGCTTGCAGCTGCAGGGGTCGGGGTGTCTTGCTGCAAGACCCTGAAAAACTGGGACCTTCATGATTGGGTGACAAAGAAACATGCAAATGGTATTGTATATATATATATATTAGTTGATTCTCTGCCAATCTCCCACCAGCTCTTGTGCTGGGTGAGCCCCGTCTGCAGGTGTCTCGTGGTGTCTCTTGTCCGAACACACGGATGAAGAATGTGACAACAAGAACCATATACCTGTCAGTTGTAATGTGTCTTTACCAGAGGGGACCGTAGATATCCCAAATATCATATGTTCTCCACAAAAATCGAGCAATTGAAATTGAAACTCTATAAATCCCTAGGGCTCCAACCACCTCCGTTTCGGTTCGGTGGTTGGGGTGGGTCTGGGGGGTCTACATTCTGAGGTGGGCCAGGAGCCCTAGTAGGGAAGGCTGTCGTTCGAACACCAATCACTCCGCATCACTCAGTGGTCTCACCTCTCAGGGTCAACTGCCAACAGACTGGACCCTGGGAGCCTCCTGATCGCCGTACACCTGACGTAAAAGGGAGTGTTCATTGATGTGATTCGGATTCCAATACCCTCAGAGTTCACAGGCACCCTCCGCAACGCGACACCTGAAACTCCCATACGTCTCATCTGAGGCCAAACTGCTGGATGAAACTCCCAAACTGCAAAAGGACAACAAGTCTCGGCTCGAAAAGCATGTGTTTCTTCATCTTTCTTCCTCCCGGCTCACCCCGGCTCAGGCTTGGTATTCCGCCGTCCACCCTGATGCCCACCTTCAGGTACACATCCTTGAGGTCCAGTTTGGCACGAGGCACAGAGCTGGCATGTTGAGTATCCGCCAGCCTGGCGGTTCTGGGCCGGTGCAGTGGAAACCAGGCGACATAAGGAGTATGGCCAGCGCAAAAGATCTCTCAAGATGAAAGTCCACCTTGGGACATACTAGTAGATTCAGTGTTTGCCCCCCTGGATTTCCGTGGCCCAACCAGGATATATCCTAGATATCCTTGGGAAACATATACTATATAGCCCGCACCAAGATTCCAAGTTGATTGACTTCTACCTTTGAAGTGCCGCGAACGGTTTTCATGTCGTACTCATGGGCCCTCTTCGTGTGACATCCAAGACGGGCTTCGTGGTGCAGATTTGTTGGCATAAGGAACACTCACTGCTATAGTCGCTTGTTCTCCTGAGGCTAAGCCTTAAGAAACAGTGCCAACCTCTTTGGTCTCAGGATGTCTCGCACAGCACCAGGGCCTAGCCGAGTTCTCTGGGCGATGTTTTGGGCGATGTGAGTCACTCTGGCCTCACCGACAAGCCATCCATGGCGATGTCCAGGTGCACGGTGGTCTCTGGGTCTTCCTGCAACTAGCAATGGCAACAGCCGAACAGAATCTGGACTTGGAGACCTGGACAACTTGGAGACCTGGTGCGTTGTCATTAAAGTTGGCATGGCAGCTGCCCACCCAGGTATGAAGGCGGTTGCACAATTGAAGTTTGATGAGTCTTTTCATTCACTGTAAAATCAAATATGAGCAACTGGAGAAACAACACAAAGGCTCACAAGGGCTCCTGGGGTATAATAGGAGGTTCTTACAATCTGTATGCTCCCAGGCAAGTGGCGCAACTTAAGAAGGACCATGCCACATACAGAACCCCAGTAATCTGAACGCTTCATGAAACATTCTTCATGAACACTAAACACTCGAAGTTGGGAAGCTTAATTATATCATAGTATATCTTCGGAGCGGTGATTCTGGATCCTGACTTTTCCTTGGTCGTGTTGTCATCGTCGTGCTTCATGCCTTGAAGCGTCTTGACTCCATACAATGACCCAGGAGAAAATTCTGACCTTTCCTATCATACACACACGTTGTTGAACGGCAACTTCTTTGCCAATGCCATACACAAAAAGAAACACATATTACAAAATCAAGCCATGTATATTAAATGATATGATACTCTGATACACCCTGGAAAATCCAAAGTGAACCTGAAAACACTGGGTTGGAGAGGAAAATCATCTTCCAAAGGTCCATGTTCAGGTTCCATGTTAATCTTCCTGGGTGTATCACTTTAACAAACAGCTTTGGTTCTGATACACATGCTAAACAACAACTTCAATGAAGAAGAAAGCTTGGGTCTCCAAGTCGGCTGAGAGGAGAATATGGAGAATGCTTGCAACTTCATCGTCAAGCCCCCAAAAAGCTGTTCCATGCCGCATGGCGATCATCGTGTCAAGCGATGCAGCACCAGCACCAGTCTCCAGCCTTCGACCACGAGAGCATTCTCGTGGACATGGCTGGATCGCTCCACATATCGATGGCCGGAGTTTCACCTGCGCAGCGCGGATGGACCAGCGGATCGTCGCTGTTCGTACCTGGGAAAATTGAGTACTAAGTACCATGATAGTGCCATCAAGTACCTGTTTATACCTGTTTGCACCTGCTTTTCAATAGGGTCATGCCCCATGTTCCACTTTGGAGGGCTCAAAAATGTCCAATGTCGACAGTTGATGAATAAATGAACCCCCAGTGGACGTGGGTTCTGACAAACAGTCAACATGACGATGGTGCCGATTTCTTTATCTTCAGACTCAAATAAACATGTCATCTGAGTAAAGAGCACGTCATAAACATGTATGTAAAAACATGTCATGACAGTAGAGGGGTTCTGACATCTTTATCTTTTGTGTATGTAAAAACATGTCATCTGAGTCTCTGAAGGCGGATCAGTTGGGCCCCTGAAGTTCGCCTCTGGCGGTGTCATCTCACGTGGTTTCAACCGGGCGGTTCAACCGGTTCCGCCCGGGGGGGGTGGGGCATCGAGATCGGGAGATTATATAGCTCCAGAGAGAGGAGCGAGCTAGACCATTGCACACCATGGAAACCAGTTCAATGTCTTTATAGTTCTTTCCTGAGCAAAGATCGAATATCATTGATCTCTCTGCGACGCATGTGCTGTTTCTTGTATAACGGCACAGATGTCCCGGCGATGTCTATTTTCGCACCACGAGCCGTCGTGACTAGTAGTAGCGATGGCCTCCACCTAGTAGCTTCTTGTTACTATACAATAGAAAATAATAGAAATGTATAGAAATGTCGATTCTCGCACCTCGCAAGACCCATTGTTGAAAGCGAGGCTCCAAGGACACTCCAAGACAATCCTGGCGCTCGGAGCGGAGCGCCGCGGCGATGTGCAGAGGCCGAGGAAGGCGGCAGGTGGGCGAAGAGGGTATGCGGATGTGGCAGTATACAGTCCATCACGGTCAAATCAAACCCCTTTTGCATCGGAGGCTCCTTGAAGGATGCATCAATACATGTCGAACGGAGGAAAGCAACAGATCTTCAAGGCAAAGGACATGCTTCACTTCTGATCTGACTCTAAGGTAGGGTGTGCCGTTTCCATGGTGAAGAGATGCACCTTGAAGCTCTTGCCCCCATTCCCAATCCAAAGTCATGTCCCCGGTCTTCTCCCCAATACCAGCTATCAATCCAGTCCTTCCAAAGTTCCTTCCACAACTTCTTCGCTTCATTGTAGTTCTCCAGCGTCCGTACCCAGTAGAGCTGCAACGTGCTTGCAGAAATCGTGCTACTGGCACGTGCAGACATCGACGTGCACTGCGCTGCGCAACACACTTAAGGTGCAGGGAACAACTTAAGTGGATGAGGTAATTACAGCGAACTCCACTGACTACACGATGTTCGTGACCCTTTAGTCACGGGATGTCAAAGGTCCATTTCTTCAGAAACCACGGCTAAACCAACGTGGGTGGTGCTAGAAAAGGTGAAAAAAAAAGGACAAACAAGAAATCAGGAACCTAGTGATTGTCGGGCACATGATTCGCCCTCTCCTGTTGTAGGACTTGCTCTCGTCAATGGACTTCTTCAATTCATTCCAAATGTCCTTCACCTGAGTCGATTGATGTCTCGTTTTCTTTTTCTGCTGCAATCCTTCATTTGTTGGTTCTGATGCCTTCTGTGCAGCAAATCTGCCAAGCCAAGACTTCTTCGCAATCAAAAGAACACCCTGTGAAACATATAGTACCACAGGTTCTTGAACGCTCCATGTGAATGGACCAACACATCACCGCCGGATGATCTGCTGCACTGCGCATGATCGCTCGTGAAGCTCACCGCGTGAACTGGTTCCGGGCAGGCCGGGCTTTCGGTTTGGAGACGGGCTTGGTCAGCTCATTCAGGCATAAGACCACCTGCCCCTGCGACGGCGCGGACCGCGGTGAATAGCGGTGACCCACCGTGTGGGTCGCATGAAAACACGACCCGGGAGGAGGGAAACGCGGTGAATAGCGGTGAACCCAAACGACGGTTGTGATGATTGATGTCACAAAACAAAGTTTGAGCTAACTTGCTGAAGTGCCTATATAGATGGGTGATAAAAGTTGATGAGTTCGTCGCAAATAATCTCACTTCAGATTCAATACAGTACATATTTACACAGCACATCAGAAAACACACATTGTCAATCACAAAGCTCTCCTAAAATAAGACACGCTGGTGATGCGATGATCAACAAAAACTGCTAGCATATTACTTCAACATAACAAGAGAGGCAGCTTGTCTTACAAAACAAATCTGCTTGAAGCCAACATATTGACACTCCAAGGATAACTCCAATCTTTCTCTTGCCATATCGCTATCACATCGATCCGAGCTCGGGCCGATGAGAAATCCAACGGATACCGTATCCGGACACCTTACGATCCGGGCCGAGAAACACGGAGCGAAAAACGGATGAGAAACACGGAGCGAAACAGTTTTGACTATGAAACTATACAGGCCTGTTTTGTGATCTTCAGTTTGGACCTTCATATTGACCTATCTCAAGTGTCACTTGTGAAGATTCAAGATGTTCAAAGAGTTTGCCTTTCGTCGAAACAACCGCTTTTGGCGCGCATATCGGACCAAAAGCCAGGCCCTGGCCCAACCTTATGAGCCCGTTCGCCTCTGTCCCTGGCGGGATAATGCAAGAAAAAAAGGGGGGGCTCGGCATGTCGTTGCATCCAAACATATCCAAACAATCCAAAAGCAGCGCACGTGGGTTAGGATTTGGCTGATTGATGCTGATTTAGCTTGCGGTCTTTGCTGAAGATTCTTTTCTGCGGATTCATCTTCAAACTGAGTGAGTGTCAGAGTAAAGATTTGCATCTGACTCTTCTGCCCTTGGCTGCTCCGGCTGAACTCGATAGTTTCATGAACCGCTGGATGCTGGCCCTGCACTTGAACATGTTGGAAAACATCTGCAGCATCACCGTTGGTGTATTTGCCAGGCAACAACAATTGCTAAGAACAGTTCCACGTCTCGTTTTCGGACTGCAGTTCCACGTCTCGAAGACGCTCTAAAAAAGCGACGCTCTCGGCTGTGGCACCTGGAGAAAAACTCTTGAAGTTCTTCGAAGCTCACCAGCTCCTGGCGTGATCGCGTGAGCACGGACACAGGCGTGAAGCTCCCCGTCGGACGTCGGGGAGGGCGTTTCTTGTAAGCAAGGCCGACCTCGCAGTCCAATAGAGAACAGGCTCCACTCCATGTGACACGAGGGAATTGGCCTTTCACGTTTCGGGAATCGCAAGGCCTTTCTGGGCGCGATCCCGGCATCATGGTATGGCATCAACTTAGTGGTCCTTCTTGAGAGTATGGAAGGGACATCATCTTGTCTAGCAAGAATGCTTCTCCATACTTGTGGGAAAAATGGCAACGACTTGCAAGGTGAATAGATGGAGGGAGTGAGTTCTCAAGCCCCTGACCAGTGGCAGCCCGTAAACACAAGTGCTTTATACCGAGACCAAGGATTCGAAGGAGCCATCAACTGAACCAATGAATGTGCAGCATTGCTCAAATCACGGACTAATCCATTTTTTTGCCATGGAAGACCTAGTTCCTTCAAATGAGTTTGAAGGATTGGCAATTCCTCCCAAATCACATCCATGTTGTACTCTAAAAGGAGCCGGTGCCAAGCAGGAAAGTAGGAACACCAGGGCACTATCGACTCACACACATCTGAGAACCCTTTGTCCTTGACACTTCTGAATTTGAAGTGAAAGCAGCCTCTGAATTGAATAAAGTTGACTAAAGCTTGCAAGGTTGAGGAACGGCACCTACACAATTTCCGCAAAACGAACTGAACTCTTGGCTTTCCTGGCCAGAGCTGTGTACCTTACGGTATCCACCAAACCCGAGTGTTCGGCTTCCACCAAGTGTTCGGAACTTGCCTTACCCTTCGAAATGATGTGTAGCAGTTGATCTGCGGCGATCTTGATCTCCTGGGCAAGGGATGCACTGCGATGATTTGCACTCCACAAACCCAGTTGCTGCTAAAACCCAGACTTGGACGACACCAATGTCTACATGGAGAAGTTCCACGAGCGGCCTGTCTGCATGTAAAAAGGTTCATTGCTAGCTCAAAAGAAGTGCTAGGCAATCAGTGCAGCACAGCATCCAGCGGCCTTGCACCAACAAGAGATTTGATTTATCAATAAATATAAGGTCGGGTCAATGAAAGTGTGTGTTTGAGAGAAGAATTTCCATTGAACACAGCGTATGGGAAAGTGCTTCTCGCTCCCAATCAAATCCCCGGGTACAAAACCACCAACCAAATCACCGCGGACTGCCGCTGTCGAAACGACTCTCCGAAAGCATGTCGAAAGCTTCGTCGACGTCGGACCGTCCTTGGGAGTCATGAACCTCGGATGGGGAGCGACGCGGGCATCACTAGGGGTTCCTGGCATCACTACGTTCGGGGCTGCTGGCCGTACTAGGAGCAAGATGGAGCAAGTAGCTAACAAGAAATTCAAATAAAAGAATATTAATTAAGGGATGAGGTATGCACGTGGTCGTGCCGATGTCGATGTCGATCTCGGCACTGTCCCGGACTTCGATTCCCCTAAGGAGTGGACCAAGGACGGGAAGGACGGTCGGACGGACGGACGGAAGGTAGGGGCAACAGCAGGAGTGAAGAGCTCTACGCTCTTAGCCATGTGTTTTCGTGGCTTCATGGTGCGAGAATGCCAGGATGCCCTTTTCTTGTGTTTGTGTATGGCCAGTTTTGCTGTCCCAACAAACTGTCGAGAAACGAACCCAAAATGGTATGTCAGGTACTAAGTTAAACACTTTTGGTCCCTTCAGTCGTTCGCTCCCACGGCTGTGGGGATGTCTCCATGTGTGCTGGGTGCTGGGTGCAGTCGTTCTGCCGCTGGTGGTTCGCTCCCATAGGCCCCGAAGAGGAGGGAGGCCGCTTTGACCGCGCTTTGACCGCTCGAAACTCAGAGCTTTGGAAGATCCAGTCCCTGAAATCAGGCCCTGAGTGACATCACATGAAATGAACCCTTCTGTAGGAACCTCCATCTTCCGTAAGGTCCCCCGTAGCGATGGCCTGCAACCTGATAGCGATGGCCTCCACCTAGTAGCTTCTTGCTACTAGTAGCGTTCTTGTTCCTAGGAGCCCCCCAAAAACGGAACGGAGCGACCCATCTGAGTTTGGCGCCTGCCATAGATACTCTCCAAGAGCTCATGAAGCTCCTGGAGCAAACGTTGAAATCGGCGCAAGCCTTTGTGCAACCACCGAGGGTCGTCCCACCGCCAACGGCCTCCGTGAGGCTACCGCTTGTGGGCAGCCCTTGCTCTTACTGGTGCGACTCGTAGGGAATGAGGGAATGAATCCAAAGGAATCTGTAGAGTCAGTGCTTCTCATCGCACGATCTGATCTTAACATCACCAGTCAGTGCGACAGACGATCGAGCGACTGTTGGAGGACCGCTACATGTAGAGGTTGCCCCCTGATAGAACGACTTCTCCAATGGACTACCCTACACTACCTATAGGCTTCCATTGGGCACCCCGACTGGAGGTCCTGGTAGAACAGTTTAAACATGGTTAAGTCTTCAAATTTGGGATACTGGACATTTTGGCCCTTAGGATCAGCCGGAATGACACCGAACAAGAAGAAACTATTGATGGCATGTCTGTGTGCGGACGCACAAAGTCTGTTGATGAAACAAGGGTTGGAGTCTACAAAAAGCTCTGACCCAAGCTGCTTTGCCATCTACAAAATGGCATGTACCAGAGTGGGCTTGTACAATCTTATGCTTACAAGTGCATAAAGCCAGCCATACAGCAAAGTGATTTCTCTACAAAAACTGGGTTTTGCCAAAAACTGCCTCGTTACAAAATGGCCCTCCCTGTAAGGCCTCAAGCTTTTCCTTTTTAATCCGCCACGTATATAGGGTCTATCCAATTGCCAGTGGCAGTGGATGATGATGGTTAGTAAAGGCCTTTCTCTAAACTAGTGATAATTGTTAACCAAAAGAACAGACCTAAGAGTTATACTATATCTTAATATAATATATATATATATAACATTAAGTAGCTTAGGCCATTGGCAAATGCTGCTGGAGTCGCGATCCCCCGGATAGCTTAGGGGTTGGTCAAAAAGGCTGCCTCAATGAAGAGAGAGTCTTGAAGGACTTGGGGCGACATCCAAAAAACATAGATCTCAAGGTAAAATGTTACATGTTACACTAGGGCAGCATCTTCTTGACAAACTCACAACATAGTAGTTGATCAAAGCAAAAACCTTCAAATTAAGTTACTTGTATGCTGTACTCGCAGCTAATAAGAACATATCTGGCATCCTTGCAATAGGGCAGCCGGTCGTTCTGGGTGGGGGTTCCAGGGGTTCATCCACGGCTACTTCCATCGTCCTTCTTCTCCAACATACCGCTGTGATCCGCGTCCAAACGATCAAAAAGGATCCGGATCTGGTCAAAGTGCCTTGCGGGTCACTGCCACTGCTGGAGAGACCGAAAACATCGGTGCTGAAGAACTCTTAACACTGGTACTCCCAAACAGGTGATAGGTTCTAGGTGGTTTATATAGTGTGTCTCTCAAACTCTACTCTTCATAGTGCCAAAGGGTTAGTTTGAAGAATGCATAGCAGTCAGTCTCAAACTAGACTTGTGTGGAGAACATGAAATCGACTTGGACTAGATTCGGGAAAACACAACTTAGCAAGTGGAGCAATTGCCTGCAAGAGGTCTGCTTTCAACCATCTCAACATCTCTTCACTCAGACGCGGTTGGAAACAACACACCTGTATGCTGGAATCCATTGGATGTGTCTTCTGCTTCACCCACGGCTCAGGACTTGCAAGAAGTACCTCATTGCTATGATGTACTAGTAGTGTATTTAAATAGAAATGTCATGTGTGTCAAAAAAAAAACAGCTACCCTCTAGCGAAGATCTTGAAAAGAACTGGTGGATGAACCTCACAATCGCTCGACTGGTGTCTGTCGCTGTGGACATTCACTTCGTCATCCCCAAAAAGAACCCGCTGCAGGCTGACGTCGAGCATGGTTCCGGTTGCACCCGGAAACGATGACGCAGGCGCACGCACACGCAGTCGGCTCAGATGAACCGTTCATGCTTGTTGCCCACAGCCGATAGCTGCTATTCTTAGGATTTGCTCCCAGGAACCGTGAACAGGTTTGGGGATTCAGCTATATGGAAAATCAACATCAACCACTGGGAGAGAAACACAGTCCGGTATTGCTGGGCCACCGGACGAGTTTGCTGTTCGAGCCTTCTTTGAGCTCGAATCCCTCGCGACGTGTCGACGTGTCAAAACGCTCGCTGGAACGAAGAACCCTTGCGGGTATGTTGCTCGAGAAAATTCAGAGATCCCTCACGAAGAGGTCGGCAAGCGATTGTGACATTTATAGGCTTTAGGCATATCCCTGCTTCTTCGAAGTAACCTTTGTGGAGTCCCCAGTCGTGACCTTTTGACAGGTCTGTTTGTGAGGATGAGATGGGATGAGGTTCGGTCACTTGGAAGAACCAGGTCTGGACATTCCGGTGCCTCAAAGTGATGTGATCATTTGGGCGAGTTCCGCCTGTCTGGACGACTCCAGGACCACTGGTCGACCTGATGAGCATGGGATTCCAGTGGATCTGCAAGGTTTTTCTGCGTAGCATCGATACCCCAAGAAGCGAGGTTTTTCCAATATGGTCAATTTCTCTACTTTCGTGGTGCGTCTTCATGCTGGTGACCAAAACAACTTGGTCTACTTTGCAAAGGTATACCCATAACCCCTACAGGTCCCCTTCTCCAGCCCGGGAATCGATGACCCCATGGGCCCATGCTCCTGGCGTACCGTCTTTTTGAGCTACAGAAAACACGCATCGATGGAAAGTCTGTCGTGGTCGTCGCACTGCATGTGGCCTCTTCACACTGGCCACGGAAGTTCCGACCGGAATCTCCCTGGCGGCCTTGACTGGCAGGTGTTGTCTGGTAGACTTGACAGGGGGTTTTAATCATGTTGGTTTTTGAGTGAATGCAAAGAACGTGTCAACCATTAAATTAGTCCCTCACAAATGAGAGCAACATGGTTGCACAGTTGAAATGAAATTTTTGCGCAACCTCAGAATCAAAATAACCACACACACAATTAGGTCTATATAAGTCTGGTCGCATTCATGCCAAAATTGATATGTGCTGGATACTCCCAAGACCTCTTAGCCTAGCAACAGGGTTTTGTCTGCGGCAGTAAAGACTCTTTCCTTTGGGGCCAATCTTTCCGGACACCTCGTGTGTCAAAAAAAAATCTTTGGGTGGTCCAATGTCGAACGAATGATCCAATCTTTTAATAAGTTACCTGAAACCATCAGGGAATAGTCGTCCACTTCTATGTTTGTTGGAGTGGGGAGTCATGTGATTTCAATTTCAACGGCCAAACACTTACCCTATATCTACTGTGGCTACGGAACCGTCCGGAATCTATGATGTAAGGACTCCCAGCATCTGCAAAAAATCGCACAGCTCCAAACTACCGACCTTCTGCTGGTCATCTAATGGAAACTGTTGATAAATAAAGCCCAAACTATTTTCATTGTAAAACCTTGTTATATATGGGGATTTTGGGGGAGTGATTCATCAACGAGTCTACGCTAGATCGATTGGAAGATTATCATCTGCGACCACCCTCTGTTGGTCATAGGTCGTGCTTCTCGCAGTCGGGTGGAACCTAATATCGAAAACATCGAAGTGAACACGGCCGCTGTGCTAGCATGTTGCTGCCGCTGCCCAGTATCCGCAATTGGGTTGCAGTAGCCACAGAAGCAACATGACCACACCAAGATACACCAAGCCACCTCACTGTTAGTCGATGTTTTCATGTGTATTTCGAGTTTTCACCCTGCTGGGGATCATAACAAACACCACTATGATTGTCTTCAAGATCAAAACCTTGTTCACCATTAAGACCACAATGCTTTCATCATCCTTCAAAACCAAAGCCTTGTTCCACACTGTTACACTGCTGTTCATCACCTTGAACACCAACATGATCAGCATCAGAAACAATCTTGATCAGGTCCAAGTTCATGATTGTGACCTTCATGTTTTTACTACGCTTCAACACTGAACATCTTGTTCCACGACTGTTTTTCGTCAACGTGATCACCAGCTGAACGTCATCAAAGAAAAGAATATCGATCAGGTTTAAGGTCATGATGTTGATCTTCTAGTGGGTCATCATGATGAATGAACAACACTACAAGCACCTTCTTTACTTCTCTTCACCATTGAAGACCTTGTTCAACATCCAGGCTGGCATCATGGTCATACCATTATTCATCATCTTGGTCATGAATATAATCATAGACATGATCTTGATCTTCATCAAAATAAAAACCATCATAAATGAACATCATTACAAGCACCCCTGTGTTGTCTTCAAGATCAAAACCTTGTTCATCATCAAGGCCACCATTAAGACCACAATGCTTTCATCATCCTTCGAAACTAAGGCCTTGTTCCACACTGTTACACTGCATTTCATCACCTTGAACACCAACATGACCATCATCAGAAAACAGTCTTGATCAGGACCAAGTTCATGATTGTGACCTTCGTGTTTTTACTACGCTTCAACATTGAACATCTTGTTCCAGGCTGTTTTTGGTGAACGTGATCACCAGCATGAACGTCACCAAAGAACAGAATATCGATCAGGTTCAAGATCATGATGCTGATCTTCTTGTGGGTCATCATCATGAATGAAAAACTACAAGCACCTTTTTTACTTCTCTTCTCATTGAAGACCTTGAACATCAAAGGCTGCCATCATGGTCATACCATTGTTCATCATCTTGGTCAGCGACATGAACATCAAAGACATGATCTTGATCTTGGTTGATCTTCTCTTGCAAGCATAGTCTACCCTGCCATCTGAGGGGTTCATAGTAAAACCCTTTGATCACAAGGTGAGCTTTTTTCTTTATACATCTTTTCACCGAACGCATTATCCCAGGGTGAGCTATTTGGTTTACTGTATAAAAATCTTTCCATTGATAGCATTAACACAGGGTGCACTAATTTGGTAAATAAAAATCTTTCCATTGATAGCATTAACACAGGGTGCACTATTTGGTTTTTAAAATCGCGTCACTGTTCACTGATAGCATTAGTGTACCCTGCCATCTGACGGGGGTAGCTGTCAACCCCTCAGATGGCACGGTCACTTCGAGTGACCCTGCCACCTGAGGGGGGTTTGGTGTACCTGACAGTGAAATTCATTGTCAGCCAGGAAGTGCTTACCCCCCTTCAGATGGCACGGTCACTTCAAGTGACCATGCCATCTGAGGGGTTGACAACTACCCCCCTCAGATGGCACGGTAAGCTCTTTGGTTTACAAACATCTTGTCACATGATGATGTTGATCAGGATGGTTCCTGGTGTTCCTTCCTTCGGGAACTGGCGGTGCCCATGCCATCTGAGGGGTTGACAGCTACCTCCCTCAGATGGCAGGGAAAGCTCTGAGATCTGTCGTTCGGGAACTGGCGGTGCCCACTTGATGCATCAGTCAGCTTGAGATCTGTCGTTCGGTCACTCCTGGGTTTGTCGCTCGGGAACTGCCAGTGGCCATGCACAAGTTTTTGGCGCTCGGTCAACAAGATTTCTGTCGTTCAGGCACTGCCAGTGCCCATACACAAGTTTTTGCGCTCGGTCAACAAGATTTCTGTCGTTCGGTCACACAAGTTTCCATCGTTCGGTCGGTATGTTCTTCGGAAAAGTTTCATTGCACAACTCCAGCAAATTCCATGGAGTTGGTCCAGCTTCTGGAATTCCAGAAACTGGTTGACAAAGGAAATTGAAACAAAGCACATGGAACAATGGTTCTCACACACAAAACAATCAGTTGCTCCAGGTTAGAAGGCGTTCAGCTCCTGGAATTTGAAGAGTGGTCCACTACAAGTTGTCACTCACTGCATCAAATCTTAGTGTAGAAAGTCAAAGGCCCAGCATACAGTGCACAATGCAACAGCCAAGCCACACCAATCGACATGCAAGCCCACGCTTGTGACCATCGCCGCAACATCGTAATTAAACACATGAAGATCAACATCATGGACTTGGGCCTGATCAAGATTGTTTTCTAGGCTAGGGTTGATAATAACCAAATCCTAGTGTTCAGTGTGCCATAGAGCTTGAAACCAAACTGCAGTGTGCACCTTGCAGTGCATTCCTCTTTCTCAGGAGGTGCTATGCAACCCATTCAGTCAACACATCAACCCCAAAAACCGACCGAAAAAAAATAAAAACACCACAACTTCGTATCTTTCCGCATGTTCCTCTTTTGCAAAAGGTCCTATTTAAGAAAAACTCCCACATACATCCACCCATCCCATTTCTCACCCCAGCACCTCAATACAAACATCAATGTAGTGTAGTAGAGTTCAGGGATGTTACCATGGAAGCAAGGGCAAGGTGAAAACTCCAAATAGAAATGAAAACATCAACTAACAGTGAGGTGGCTTACCAACACGTCATCAAAGCAAAACAACATATAAGCAATATATACATATATAACAACAATCTATATATATAATATATAATACAACAACACGATCGACCGGCGGATCCTCACGTTCTTCAAAAAACCCGAAGCCACGTCTGGTCCGGTCGCCTTGAGTCCTTGCCAGGCACGCTGCAAGCGCAAGGCCATGCGACTCGAGACTGTCGCCGTCAAACCCGTCTCGTCCACCGCCTGGCGGTCCACGCAAACGGGCCACAACGACTCGTGGGAAACGGCGGGTACCGCCGGGTCGTCGGTGGAAACTGAATAGGTGGAAACGGGTGGAAAGTTGGCTGAAACAGGTCTTCCGGAAGAGAACTCTTTCTCTTTTTACATAGCTAAATGTGCTCTGTGATCGTCCATGCATCTCTATAGAACGCACATGCATGCTGCTACACTTTTTTTCGGAGGTTTTTGGCCGCAAATCATATCCGTGTAGTTACCATGTATTGTGACCATTCCAAGCAATCAGTACCGAGGCCCCGAAACCAGTTTTGGACACAAACCTGCGTCATCGACACGGATCCTGCTCGATCCGGGGCCTGCCATTCCAGTTTCTTGAGTCCAAATCCTTTAGTTCGGGCTTGCTTTCAGAGGCTATGGCACTGCTGAAGATTGCTGAAATATGAAGAGCGAAACGAATAGTCACCATCGCATCTTCTGTTTCTTCTGACAAGCAGGAAATGTCACTACTCCTATTTGAACGGCGACTATGAGAAGAATTGTGAGACCAATGAATCAAGGGATCTGAAAGGACATAATGTAGCTGCTAATCCATCATATCACAAAGCACCACACATCATTCCACCAAAAACAACACACATCACGTCGTTGGACTTCACTGCACATCTCTTGACTGCATCTTGACATCCAATTTACTACACAACCCGCATGATCGCAAATCACAACTTCATCTGCCACATCACATCTTTGCCCCATGTTCGCAAGGACGCTACTAGGAGCAAAGGGCATCGCTACTAGGAGCATCACCATGCGTCACCACATCGTCGCAGAACACCCTACCATGGCACAAAGAAACCCCGACTGTGTAAACACACATTGTAGTAAGGAGTAGCGACACTACACCTCAGCAAATCAGAGCTTGCCACAAAACCTGCATCATCACCTTAAACTTTGTGAACCCCGCATCACTACACTGTTAACACAACGCCCCCCCCACACACTTAGATCATTGATCTATCAGTTGGAGAAATCCCGGAAGCTAGTTACTGAATACTTAGCGCGTGACTTGCAGAACTGTAAGAGTGAAGGGTCAGCTCGAAAGAATGGTTGAACAAACGCATTAGCACTCTACGAGGAGAATTGGGGTGACAGCTTTTGAACATCACAACCGGAAAGTTAAATTGACGCAGGTACGTTCCTGAGGCGTCCCTCGGAAATGTCACAGTCTCAAACCACCGTCTTCGTTGGGCAGTGGATGGAATGAGACTCACTCCCCTGCTGCTAGGCTGTACAGTTGATGGAAAAACATAGATTGAATTAACCTGACTTGAATTCCTTAGTGTGGTCAAAATCCTTGGGAACAAGAGTTGACACACACACACACACACTTCACAAGACAATATACAAAACAACACCAGAAGCCAAACATCAAATTATGATATATATATATAATTGTATATTGTATATTTGTATATATATATATTACTATATATTATGTCTTTCGAAAACCTCTTTGAAGCTTCTTTGTCCCGCCTGGGTCAGGAGCCTCACGCGGATCTCCCTCCCCCCCGTGCTGTTGTCATACTGGGCGACGCTCATCTCCTTATCCGGTCACCAGCTGTAGCGGTTCGACGGTGGTCGATGTGAAGGGGTTGGTGCTTCTTGGACCATGATCATTCAAGAAAATGATTGAGTCATGTGGAGAAGTCTCAATCTCTGGATGATGTTCATGGTCCGTGAGGGCCCCCCAGGGGTTCGAGGACCAGCATCACACTAGACATGTTCATCCACGACTTCATGGTCATCCAAGCAGGAGAACCAGCCACCATTGGTGTCTTTGCCCTCGCAAACAGTGGAGATTAGGCGGCAAGTGCTTTCCAAGGATCAAACAATGTCAAAGCATTCTCCACTAGTCAGGAAAGCACCGGCTAACATTCACATATATATATATGTATTGTTTTTAATGTACACTAGACCTTCCAACCAACAATGCGCAATACTTTTGCATGTTGGTAGATTTTGGGAGGAAACTTTAAAACGGATTGAAACTGGAGCATGCATCTTTTTCTACGTCATGTTCTTCCAGAGCCAAGTCTCAACACGACAGGGTCTCAACACTGAGGCCGCCTTCGACCGGCGTCGAACGACGGGCTGTTGTGGCGGAGAAAACCCATTCCCGTCATTGTTTGGCCTTGAAAACATGCCTTCACTCTGCTTTGGCAAGATGATTTCCCAAATTCTTTGGGGTGCGACAGTGCGAAGTCATTTATGTCGCGAAAGGATCCAGGGATTGGTGGCCCACAATTCAGTGAAGGGATTGGTGCACATGTGACATATTGCATGACATACGTGCAGATCTCGTCAGTGTTCATCGAGCACTGACTGGAGTCATCTGCCCGATTCACCGCAGAAAAGACGAAGTGCGAAGCGGTACGCCGCCGTGGGCGACAGCGCCCTGCATGCAAATTCTTATTCACAAACCCTGAAAACATGCAACCCTACAGCTTCTTAGGAAGTCACCAATGTATACAGAAATCTATGAAGCTGCAGTCAGGGAACGTCCTCCACTAAAAACAGGAAGACGAACCGAGCATGGATCATTGGATCATGTTTGAAAACCTATATTGACCTATGTCCGTTTGGTCAGTAAGGCATGCTTCTGATGTCATATCTGAAAGAACATGCCTTCAACACTTAACAAATGGATCAAGAATACTATACTATAAACCATACTATGAATAGTGATTGCATGTGATATCATGTATTTATGATCATAAAAAATCCTAGTCCCCTAAGATCACCTGCCTTACATCCTGACCTTGGTTTGCAGCTGACTCTGCTTGGACCTGTGCCGTATTTGTGAAAGAAGCCTCACGTCGCTGGCCTGACTTCCAGGTGCTTCACAGTCCATTTGCATCGTTCCCAGCTGAAGCCTCGCCTCTGGAAAGCAAAACGGCAGAACGGCCTTCGACGTATAGACCCGACGAGACCAAAAACGTATGGGATCGTGCACATCACCTCAGGAATTAACAACAGCCGAAGATCGCTAGCGATCCAATTTGGACACTTGTTCTGAAGCCGAGTATCACCGAAATCAACCGTGTGCGGGCGGCCGCTATGGCCATCAGCCAACGACAAACTATAGTTGGGCCCTCCAAGTAGCGTCGAGACGCGTCGTCTGCGACAGGTTGTTCACATCACGCGAACTAATGGATTCCCATCCTTTGGATCTATCATGATCTATCCTATTACCTATAACAGTGGAAGATGATGGTTAGTAAAGGCCTTGTTCAAACATGATGATAGTTGTTTACTGACTGTTACTGTACAGGTAATAGGACAGACCCAACCCATCTTTATGAAACAAAATGGTCTTCTGCTTGCAAACATGCGGTCATCCAGCGATGCTTTTCTTAAGCATTGCAAAAACCGTCGTGGTGAAGGTTCATTGTTCATCTCAGGCCCTCAATGGGCAAAACTTGTTGAGATGACCGTTTCCGTCCCTTCCTTTTTTGCTTAATCTGTTCATCTCTGCTCTTGACACAACTCAGGTCGCTGTTGCCCTGGTTTCTTACTGAGTGTCGGCCACTTACACACTTGATTCTATTGAACACCTGAAACCCTCAAATTTACGAAAACTGCCATATCTATCATGTGTATAGACTCGCCTTATCTATCAATCTATCTATGTATCTAATATATATATATATATATGTTATCAGTTTAATCCATATTATACACCATGCCCCAGGGTTGTGGCGCAGGATTCTTGCAGGAACCTAGCTTCGGCTTCGGATATAGTAGTTTTAGGCCTGGTGTGTGGTTTCGCAGAATGCTTATGGGTGTGTTTTTGGGCGGCAGGTTCGCCAAGCTATTGGTCACTAACTCATGGACATTTGCACTGAACTGCAAAGGAACATGATTTTGAAAAGGTCCATGCTCATCCGTGTTCCACGTCTAATGTTACTAACTGTTGCTACATCCTATAGATAAGTTAGTTGTGAGTTATGACAAACATGTCACATACCTTAAAATCATCAAGGGGATGGGTCCTGAAGAAATTCTTCCAGGTGCCTGATTTGATCCAACAAACATCAAACCTCCATGATCCATCTCCAAAACTCGGAGGTTCCTTAGACCTTCCTTCGCCCTGACTTAGACTTTCCTTAGACCTTCATTTGGTCCACTCATGACTTAGACCTTCCTTCGCCCTCTCGGCCTCCATCTTTCTCTTCCCCTGCGAGCGACGATACGGTGGGCGACTCCTGGTGGCGACAGGCGTTTTATGTTTTTTCGGATTCTCGGTGGCGTGGACTGCTGGTGACGACTGGAAGCCTGTAACACATAGTGTACAAGAAAGAAACACAAACCTCCAATTGTACAAAATACCTCCATCATTGTACCTCCATCATTTGATGTCCATATTGTACAACAATACCAGAATGGATGGACATCAAATGATCAATTTGCAATTGTTTTATTCTAGGGGGGTTGAGGGGGTCCCCGAATTCGGGGGCGTCACTGTTGTTCCAGCACAGCCCCTCAAAACAAGGTGTCCCTTCACCCAAACGATGAGTCCTAGGAAAAAAAAAACAAACAAACCTCCAAACATATATAGCTTGATCCCTGCGATGTGCTCATTTCCCCGACGTACGTGACGAAACTACGATCGGTCTCCTAATGACCTTAAAGAGCTAATGGTTCCTGGACGTTTGTCGGCTTATGTCGGCTTTGCTGCTACCCAAAACAGAAGAATGCCCCCGGCGGGGACCCAGTCAACCGGCCAGTCGTGTCAAAGGATGTTTTTGCCGGGCCATATCTATCTGGTTCAGAACAACTGTGATAGATTGAAACATTAAAACATCAATAAACGTTCTGACGACATAACTTTCCCACATTCTTTGTCTAAGTCTATGACTCTATGACTCTTGAATCCAAAGAAGCATTGGACGTCTCGCAACGTCCTCGCTGCGCGCAGTGCATGTCCGCACATCCTTTTTCATCACTTCGGCCAACTCTGCGGTGCCCCACCTCGTCTGCAGCTTTCAAAAGGAAGGCATCGGTCGGGTCCCTGAGTTCGAAAGCTCGGTCGGCGCGTTCCGGCGTTCCGCGCCTGACTTCGTGCCAGCTGTCGTGCTGCGAACGATTCGAAGGTTCGCAGGCGACTCGACAATACAACATGCAAATGCACATAGACCCGAAGTACCTGCCTGTCTTCTTTTTCAATGCCTCCTCTCGTGCAAGGTTGATTCCTGTTCAGAACTCTCCTTTGGATTTCGACAATGCGTTCTCCAACTAAAGGTTAAGTTGACTCCTGCTGAAGATTAAATAAATATATACCTTGCCCATTATGGTTAAAGGCGCCTTTGTCCGTGCAGTGGCGGTTCTTGTCCTCTGCAGGCGTATCCCGGGGCAATGTTCAAATATATAAATAAGGATCCACCCAGGACTGGTTCCAGGAACTTCCATAATCCACTAGTTATGAAATTCATTGTTTTATGAGGAATTTACTTGATGCTTCACTCTTGCATGTTCTAATATTTTAGTAGGCCATTTATGTTTCTATGTTTTGTTTCACTATATTTACACATGCATGTACATTGATTTTTTTTTGCGTAGGCGTTCTTCCCGCACTTTAATTGTCATGTTTAGCCGTTGGCAAATGGGCGTTCTTGCCCGATACTTAGGCGTTGAGACCTGTTCTCCCCCTCACTACAATCCGCTACAATCAGTGGCTTGGCTGAGCAAATATGTTTTCTTTCGGGGGGGGGCAGTGCGTGATATGAAGTCAAATACTTTCGACCGGGAATCAGGGTCAGGTGGCAAACGTTTTTTCCTGCACGTTAGAACCGTTAGAATGCATGGGATTCTCATGTTGCCTTGGTGTTTTTGACCCTCGAGGCTGCAGCTTAGGCGTTCTATGTGAAAACGGGCAGGATTTTCTACCTAAATAAATGAAGTTGGGACAAGTTGGTCTGAAATTACAATGGCAGTCTAGGCCCTGGGCTTTAAATGGTTTTACAACTTACAACTTCCCAAATTGTCTTTCCATCGTTGTCGTACTCGGACGATGCGGGCGGATTTTTTGTTTTTTGTACGAACACCGTCAGTCGTCCGTCGCGGATTGTCATTTCACGAGGTTTGGGATTTTTTGGGCCAAGTGCGATTTGCAATAATTTGTAGTTTTGAAACCTCTGGGTGAGGCTCATTTGTTGTAGCATATGATTAAACATGATTAAACATGATTTAAAAAATCAGACACGAAAGACTTTGGACCACAAAGTCCCATCAGCTGTGCGGCCCAACTATTCAAACCAATCTGACATAAAGGAAACCCATGGTTGAACGCGGGTGAGCAAGAATCCAGTAGACATAGGAGAAAAAGACACCATGTCAGCAACGTTGGACATAACACAGGCAAAACCAATGGGAACCAAGCTGTGAAGAGAGCTCGGGGCAATCGGCAAAAGCAGTGAGAGCATCAAACCACAAGGTTGGATGAATAGGCGGAAACACTGTAGTCGAAAATAACACCAAAAATCAGGCTTTCAGTGGGGATTGCAAAAGTTTCGGTCAAAGGAGGCTGCAAACTGAAACAGCCGGGAAACAGTCGGGAAACAGTCGGAAGCAGTCGGAACACAGTCGCAAAAGTGTGGAACACCTGGAACCAGTGGGAATCACTCGCAAAAAATGATGAACAATCCAAACGACACGTTCCAAACATTTGTTAAAATAAAGAATCTCACCGAGTAGCAAAAACATGTAAAAAACACCAAAATTCCAAATGAAAGAGTTGGAAACAGTTGGAAGCAAGGTTGGATGTCAATTCTCTCGGGAAAAGGTTGGATGTCAATTATTGCCCCGAGCTCTCTTCACAGCTTGGTTCCCATTGGTTTTGCCTGTGTTATGTCCAACGTTGCTGACATGGTGTCTTTTTCTCCTATGTCTACTGGATTCTTGCTCACCCGCGTTCAACCATGGGTTTCCTTTATGTCAGATTGGTTTGAATAGTTGGGCCGCACAGCTGATGGGACTTTGTGGTCCGAAGTCTTTCGTGTCTGATTTTTTAAATCATGTTTAATCATGTTTAATCATATACCAAATGACATGCTGGCGCTACAACAAATTGAGCCGCACCCAGCGTCTTCAAAACTACAAATTATTGCAAATCGCACTTGGCCCCAAGAATCCTAAACCTCGTGAAATTTGATATTCACGGATACTGAAGCAACTATTATAGTAGAGGAGTCGAGAATACCCAAACACTCCATGTATGCCATACTAATATTTGATCATATTTGCTTACATTGGGGTGGTTTGGGGGGTCAAGGTAGACATATATAGTATATATATATGTGTATATATACATATATTCCAAACATATTCATACATGGAGTGCTTAGGATGCTTAGGTGATGTTTGATCATGATTGATCCACCTATGTCAGAGACTCCACCGCCGGAGACTCCACCGCGCTCGGTGGTCGCTTCATCTCAGCGACCTGCCTTGAGATCTGCTCACTGGGATCCAAGGTTGCCTGGGCAAATGGTTTTTTTAAAGATTCGATGGCCCAGCGCCCATTTGCGTGGTGTATTCGGAGTGCGAATATGCGCGAATACAGGGCTCGTGGTTGCATGGATTGGAAGCAAGAGAACCCAAGTAATATCTTTGTGTGAGTTATCAAAGATTATCAAAGTATCTACAGCTTGCGGTCGTCCGTCTGAGCCAGTAACATGGCGGGTGTACAGTGTATAGGGAAAAAACTCATAGTGCCTGAGGGAAACATCCCGAGGTCTAATCGCTTTCGTTGTCAATGAGCGGTGCCAAGGGCATTGTTCACCTTGCCAGGGATGACATCATGTCATGTCAGGCATGACATCTGTCAGGGCAGAGAGACGATATCCACTGATGCATGTATTGCCTTGACGCATGATTTCCCTTTGTGCCCATCCATCCCGCACCAGCACCCACATCGGCACCTCCACCAGCACGCCCGAAGAAAACGCCGATCCAGCACTAGCACGAGCACCCGCACTACTAGTAGCATGCCCCAAGCAAACGCCAATCCAGCACAAGCACGCACGCTAGCACCCAGCACCAGCACCTGCACCCGCACACCCACAAAAGGCCGATCCAGCACCAGCATAAGCAGCACCAGCACCTGCAACAGCACGCCCAAACAAAACGCCCATCCAGCACCGGCACCGGCAAAACAAAAAACCGATCCAAAGCCACACCATTGAGAAGTAAGAACCCTTATAGCTTGCAGTTATCTGGAGAAAAACCTCCTTGAGTAGTGTTTTGGTATGACATGGTATAACCAACTCCGGTCAAACGGGAATCTCTTACCCAATTTGGGGTCCACCGGCCCCCTCCACGGTGTTCTTGCCCGTGCGTCGACGGTGCGAAGCGAGGCCGGCGGAGAAGGGAGTCGCTCCAGGTTTGGTCTCATGATCCGATCCATCAAATCGAGGCCAAGAAGTCACCTATTAAGCAGCGGTGGTCGCATTCTAAACAACCTCCGGCGCCACAGTGCCACCGGTCACGTCGCATATACATCCGAATAACGTCCTATACGTCCCGTTCCATCCACGTTCGTCCACGTTCGGGGTCACCCGGCGCCGTTCCGCTCCCTTCGGCTCGGTTCCCCAAACGGCGCCCAGTGTCAGATCCTCCAAGTGCAAGTTGCACCCAGTGCCTCCGGTCCGTGCAGCGGTCGACGGGTGTGGTCTTACGCGGCTGGAGGGGTCGACCTGGAGGGATTCAACGCCCCAGGTACAAGGGAGGCCAGGAGGATTGGTCGGATAGGCCTCCAAGTGTTCACCAAGCAATCGACCTATAGGACCGTGATCACAGCGACCCCGCACGAGCTGTTGGGTGCCGACCCGCATCAGCCCAGCTGTATGATACAGATCCTGTAGATACAGATCTGTGAGCCACACTGTATGTGTCAAACCTTGCCTCTGATTTGCAACAGTGCTTCAGCACAAAGCTCTAATGGAGTGTGCTCGAAAAGAACTAGTTCTAGTAGACAGAAGATGACATGCACATTGAAACACATGGAACATATTGGGATGGGTTTGGAGCACAGAACAGTAAGTGGTAAGGCACGACACTTGGTGTACCAAAAAAACACCTGATTACCCGCTCTTCAAGGTATGCCTAGTCTGCACCTTGTAAAACTAGGAAGGCTTGTTACATGTCAAACAAGGTGTTCTGCCTCCCCTGGATGTCCTCCATTGCCCCTTGCCGGCACCTGGCGTCTCTGTCGCCTGTAGGACTTCCATCCTGATGGACTTCACCTGCACCTGCCGAGGTCAGACCGAAGGACCGAGGTCAGGAGACCAGGAAGGCCCCTGATACTCAATCATTTACTGCTAAGCCAATGGCTCGACCGAGGTCTATCCATCTCCGAACATCTCGCCAAGGTGTATACATCTTCACCCAATGGACAGTCGAGCCAACAGTCTGCATGCAGGACTTCACCTCTGCGACTGAAAGCACACCAACCCGGGGCAAAGTTGGTGACGAGCGACGAGGGTGAGGTGTTCTTTGATCTCTGGATTCTCTGGATGGTCCAAAGCAGTGTTCGCAGTCCAAGTTCAGCACAAAGACACCAACATTACAACACCCACACCACATCTTCTATGTAAAAAAGAGAAGAGGTCGTCAACTACCGGCAAACATACCATACCGCAAACAGCTGGTCGACACGTCGGTCACCACCTCGGCGTTGACACACCGCAAGGGTCGTTGCTCTTCCACCAGCTGATCCAGCCAAGCCTGGCCGACATCGACCAGTCGACCAACCCATGGGCTCGTTCCTTCGCCCATGGCTCGACCCATGGGCTCGTTCCTTCTCGGTGGGACGACTGATGAAGGGGGCGTGTCGTATGTGTCGTTTGCCCCGGAGCCGTAGCCTCTGGTAGTTTGGTGAAGGGGCGGATCCCCGTCGGATCCGACTGAGGATCCTTCCCCGGTCGGATGACCGCAGTCCCAGGACGACGGGATCCGGCAGCGAGACGACGAAGGTCTGAGACGGGGCACGTCAAGGTACTGAAAACATCAACATAATCTCATAATTTGCTAGGGCTCCAACCATATCCTCAGAAGGTGGTTAGACCCCCCAAACCCACCCCAACCATCTTCTCAGGAGGTAGTTGGAGCACCAGGGTTGTTCGAGTTTTCCAAAGCCTCTATATCAAAGACCTCGGATACAAGGGCGGTATCAATGTCATTCGCCCTGACGACGGAGAACGCTCCTTGCAACATGTGAGGCTTGCAGGTGCTGACATGTTCTTCCTAAGATGTCTCATCTTGGCCCGCGGAAAAACAGAGATTGAACCACAAAAGAATCTCCATCGGCGAGTCGCCTGTTTTCTGCATCCTATGCCTGTTTCCTCAGATTCCTCACCTCCAAATTGAGATCGGATGGTACTGGCCAGGCTTCAGCATTGCATCGAGCATTCACGATCTCCTGATGCGGTCCGCCGGTGTGTGGTCGACTGAGGAAAACACACAGACAGTAAACGACCCAATGACCCATTGTCCGCCGGGCGTAGATGGCCGCGTGAGTTCGGGACCACTTTTTGTGTGTTGAAGGAAGTCGTTTGATTGAAATTACCATGGGGTTAGCATTTCTTTGCTTGTTCAGGTATTCTTCTGCGCACTTGTCTATTTCAAAAATACTATTTTGAATTATATTTTGGTTACTCATGGTCACCTGCGCCAACACAACAAATCAAGAAAACCTATTCTGCAATGGTCTTCTGAACTCCGTGCCAAGTTGTCCGTATACACCAAGGATTTCATGGACCTAGAGCTCATCACAAACTTGAAACACACCAGGATTCGACGTGCATGGTTCACTGCATGTCTTTCTTCACTGCTTGGCTCACTAATGTCGATAACCATGTTGCGACATCGATGACAATGTTGTGATGTCGATGACGATGTTGAGATGTCGATGACAATGCTGTGAAATCGATGACAATGTTGTGATGTCGATGATAATGTTGTGATGTCGATTTATCCTCACCCCGCCACCCCATTTTAATCGCACGACTACATAATCGATGACAATGTTGCGAGGTCGACGTCAATGTTGTGATGTCGACGACAATGTTGTGATGTCGATGATAATGTTGTGACATCGATAACCAAACAAGCACTGTAAATACCATGGATTTTATGACATAATTGTTCGAAACCATGAGAAATACCATAGAAAATAATGTTTCGACGCTCTCCCCAGTTGCCCTGCGGACACATAGAAAGTGCTGTAAATACCACACAGAATTTGCAAAAGAGTGCTCAAAATGACCTGGCCGTCTACGCCCGGCATGCCAACTACATGGTGGTGAGTGAAAACCTTGCTAAAACATGGCAGTTGGACATCCATGTCTAAGAGAAATCTCTTCATTTTCACTGAACACTCCCAAAGTCCCCCCGCTTTTGGACCTCCAGTCGCTCCAAAGCCCCTCACTCACGGGATGGGGACCATGAGAAGGAGACATCTCCGAACCGCCTGTCGACACGTCGACATGACGTCGTCGCCTTGGAGGTCATACGCTGCTCCCATTCTTTCACATCCTTCTTGTGGGCCTTCACAGCATCCTGGGACGCACGCGGACGCACGCTTTCAAGGGACTTCAAGCCTGAAGACCCCACGCGAACCGGGTTTTCTTCTCGGGGTGGTTCTGACATGGGGGACCAGCCTGGCTGGGTAGTCTAGGGGTCTCCATGTTTACGCATATGTAGTAGACTCCTTTGTCAATGCAACAAAACACAAGTTAGTCTTGCTGACTGCTTTCCACGACCAGCCACTGAATGCACTAAAATTTGAACAAACCTAAAGATTATATAACCTCATGACTCATATCCATGTAATGTACCTTTCTTAGCCAGAAAAGAAGAACATGCGGTCTCCAGAACACCTCCCTCCTCCCTCTCTCTGTCTCCTCCCTCCTCCGCGTCGCCAAGGGACCACATACCGTCGCATCTCCACCGCCGTCAGCGGCATGCGCCCCAGTGAGGCCAGCTCCTCGGGTCGCCAGGGTCGTCCGGTCGGACGGGTCGTCCGGTCGAACCGGCATGAGATCGTCCGGCCGACGTCTTTTGTGCATGTCCAGTGATTGAAACATATATGAATTCTATCATGATATAACCAACTGATAATCATCTAGCAAGAAATACTATCTCTATAACTATAAGCAAACCTTTTGCATCCTTTTGTCGTCTTTGGATTCTGGCACAACTTGTCAACATTTGTATTGTCTGAGAGGAGTTGACAGAAAATGGAGAAGCCAAATCCGAAAAAAGATCGTAGGGCAGACTGTTGAGGGCAAGCGACTTCTTCGACTTTTGTCAGACCAGACCGACCTGCACGAGCAGGTTCCGACCACTGTAGAGGTGTACAGCCTATGCGATTCCTGCTGAGATTTACCTCCTGGAATGATACTACTTACTGTAAGGTTCCCATATAGAGGTGGTTGGATGTCTGTGTCTTGGCACTTGAGCGCAGGCCTTTTCACTTAAGATTCTACAATGGGATCTTCAGAAACTCCTAATCAGGATACTATGATTCTAAATGTTGGTCTATTCTGTACCTAGGACAACCCCCATGTACCCGAGTCACGCATCTATGATTCAAAGGGCATTGGTGCGCGTGGATGATCGCGTGGATGATCTGTGGTAGTTGGCCAACGGGCCGCAACTGGCGGTGTTTTCTGCATTTGTCAGGCATCGATGTAATGATATCGTCATCGACTGTGCCATCAGCAAAAGGTTTTTGTTAGAAACATCCATTCTCAAATGGATGCTGGAACACAAGTTCTGGACCGTTCGTGATTCGAACTGAAACGATTTCCAACAGATTTCCAGTGAGTCTGAAGGGTACAGGTCACAGAGTGCCTGACCTAGCTTTGATTGATATCATCGTTCAGTTTCTTTTCAAACTGTCTGTGGCACCTGTGATCCCAAAAGAGTTCTACACAGCTTTGAAAGCATTGCTAAAAGCACACGGAGCCTGAAAAAAGAAGAGTGAAAAGGAGCAGCTTTGACAAATCTACACCTTTTACATCTTTTACATCCTTTTACACCTGAGGCAAACCTCCATTCCTGTGGTCCTCATCCAAAAGAGCTAGTTGATGACATGACATTAGTTCTGAAAGGTTCAACAACATTGATAGACAATGGTGATTTCTTCAACTGTGGCAGGCTCTGAAAAGTTGCTAGTTGAATTGCCCGCAACTGTTCTTGACTTTTGAGGCTTCAATTCTACTGGGAAGTGCACATGACATGTCCTCCCCACGGAATTGTGCTGTTCAAAGCTTTCAATGAGAGAATCTTCCCCGATGGAACTCCTTACATACAAGCAACTTTGCAGACACATTTTGCAGAGAGCATTTCGTACAACGGCCGGATATGGTCGGTGAACCTGGTAGTTTGTACCTGTTTGTACTAGAATCATTGTAGAAAAATGTAATATATATATATACCTTGAGTCTCCAAAGACCTTTTTTTTCTGCGTTTTTGTTTTTGGTCTAATAGTTTTGCGTTTTTGCTCGAAAAACGCGTTTTTAGAGATGAGGACTCAAAAAAAGGTGCAGAGTGAATCTTCATCCGGACGCGTCCGGCACGGACGCTTAAAGACGCCTTTTGGACGCAAAAAGACGCGTTTTGGACGCCGAAAAAAGGTCTCAGGACACTGTCTAAGGAGGATCTGACAGGGCACAAACAAAAAGGGAACATTTCGTGACACATGCAAAAAAGAGTGCTTTCTTTCAAAAACCTCTTTTTCTTGGAAAGGCAAATTTAAAAGGGTCATTGGAGACTCAAGGTATATAGATGCATATAGAAACCATCGCTCGAGCCACGTCCCACAAAAACATAGATTGGGGAGCTTTGAGGCTGATCTTGCTTACAAACCAAGGTGCTTTCTTCCAACTCTTCCAGTCGCCAAAGCGGTTCATGTTGTCGCTGATCTTGGTCCTCCGGCGACACAACATCGTCGGGGAAGACAATTCGGAAATGATACTCCTTTGCAATGTTTGGCAACAAAAAGGCATGTCTTCTAAGAGTCTTCCGGTAGATTGCATACCAGTGTCTTGAGTGCTGCAGGATGGACTGTCCATGTACTCCAATGGATCAGTCAACCTGGAATTCTGACCGCGTTTCCCCAGCTCCAACATGTATTGGACATGGTGTTTATCCAAATCTCTGTAAGGAAACCCTATGAAGCTGCTTAATGTCTCCAGCTCTGCTCCTTTTGCCCTTGAGTTGGAGCAAAACTGAGACACGATGTTGTGCGCTTGTGCAACCTTCCTGTCATAGACGCAATAGTCCTACTCACTCAAGAGAAGGGGCCTCTGGAGCGGCTGCCTAAAACAACTTTCTTCAAAGAAACACCCCCTTCGGCCACAGGGAAGAAACGTATTTCATGTGATGTCAAGGGATGTTCACAACAACAAAAAAACACGTATTTAGGGTCTCCATGTCTTCGTCGCCGGATTCGTCTAGCCCTCTACGGTATGCCAGGCGATACTGGCCATTTGGCCACATGAGCTGATATGATGGGACATGACTCACCCGTGCACGTTCTTGTGAAAACACATCGAGGTGATTCACAAGTTCTGTTTGTTTCCAAAACGTGCCGCCTATTTTGGGAAGTGTGTGTTCATTTTTGGGAGTTTTCCAACATTATTGTGGAGTTTTGGGTGGGGAGAAGCATACTGTCTCAGCCTTCCTAATGCTTTCCAGCCAGGTTTCAATGCTTGAAGGCATCGGGGTCGAAGCCAAAGTTTCACCTCGTCCACCTGAAGCGGTTCTTTCGTTGCAAGAGCACGATGAATCGCTCAAGCAACTTTGATTGGAAGATACGTTACTATCGTTTGCATTCATTTGTGTATTTTACAGGATCAGCTCTATTTCCCTAGCTAACCCTGACTAGCCGTTAAGCGTACCTTTTGCTCTACCTTGAGAGTACACGCTACGGGGTCCATAGGGGTGAGAGGAATTTCAACACCCCCCTTTACAAGGAGCTACCCGTAGGGAAAATCTCGGGGAGGATCGAATTCTAGCGACGAAGGAATCATATTAGAAATCCCTCATCAAGCTCGTGCATGCACTATACATGGAGAACGTGGCTACCCTAATGTACAACCTTGCGGCTCACTCGGCATGTGGTTAAACATGCTTGACCCAGACTAAGATAGAGTATTGATCAAAAGTTCACTCTCCGACTACAGCAATCCTATTAGGGATGCATTAAGAAGTGAGACAATGAAGTGAAACATCATCTCACAGCGCGTCAGAAGGTGATTTTTATCTCAACACTCATAGGCTGTTGTCATACCATTTACGGTAGCAGTTCAATGTTGCTTCAATAATGTCTGTATCCAAAACGCTCCGTTTCATCGTGCCAACCCTGTTGCATCCACTGACGGAGTTCCATGTGATTAGGCCAATAGTTTTCAGCCCATGGGTCTGTGCGTTGCCATTGTATCCCAGGGAAATCAAAGGGTTCCAATGGTCGATCATCCGTTCCGAACACTGTTGGCTGCCCAGCTACGGGAGCATTGGATGATGATGCCGCTGCCGAAGGAGCTCGTGTAGGTAGCGGCGGTGGTGGCACATTCTGCAAATTCCATTGCTGTGGATCATAAGGTCCTCCTCCTTGGCTCACCTGCTGCTTGCTTTTGCCCTTTCCTTTTACGGAAGGTTGCAATCGGCTATACAAATCTGCAAGTGGCGGTGGCTTCGGTGTCAAATTAAAATCTGGCGGCCGAGTATTTGCCGGAATACCGCTGACATTGCTCGAAATATCTGGAGGTGGAACCTTCGGAGGAGGCACCTTGGGTGGCGGAACCTTCGGTGGCGAAGGCTTTGCTGGTGGCTGTGAAGGGGCTGCCTTCACTGGCACAGGTTGCGGACCTAACAGGTCTTTTGGAATGTTGCCACGACTTGGCATTGCACGGGCGACTGAACCGCGTGGCGTCCCTTTTAGGGGAGCATTCGTTCCTTTGATAGGGGAACTGCCCTGGCCTTTTCCTTTGGCTGCAATGCTCTGCTCCGCACTGACATTCCTTTTAGGGAAGTCTTCCTTTGGTGAAGCTTCTTCTCGACCATGAGGATGAGGTAGCCTGTACACCGATGATGTATGCGTCCCAGTTACGGGAGCAGGTGGACGAGGCACTCCTGGTGGGGGAACTCTCTCGTCAACCCATGACGCGATGCGGCCGGACTGGCCGCGTTCCTCCTTCTTCCTCCACTGCAATCTTGGTCGCTTGTCACCGTCGGCAACGCCCTCGATGTACGATTGTGATCGCTTTCGAGTCAATGGTGGCCTAGTTACAGGCACTTGTGGAGAAGGTGCTTCGCGCTGCCCAAATTCCAATAAAAGTTGTTCCAGTCGATGAACCTCATAAGAGGTCATGTCCTGCCCACAATCGGCAAACTTTGGCAATGGCGTCGCCATGCGTTGCTCCAAATTCATAAAGCCTAAATTTTGAATAGATTGCCCTCTGTCGCGTGCTTGCATATTCGCAGACTGCGTAGCGTTGCGCTGATACTGTACATTGGCGGGGTCCTCATTGTGTTCCGCGAACTCACTCAGGATCTTGTAAATGCCCATCGTGTCTCCACGAGGAATGCGGATTGAATGAATATCGCCATATACGTCCTCGGTCGGGATGAAACCCTGAATTTTGATCTCGTCTCGGCTGTTGCCAATTACGGCAGCAAATTGTCGAAGAGATAGAAATTCACGACGGTAGCTGATCAGAAAGTTCTCGTCAAGGCCTTGCTTGAAACAGGTATCCAACAGAGGTTGAGAGACCTCATGGTACAGCCTATACCGCCGAGGTCCTTATAGACCATGGGGTCCTTATAGGCCACTGGGATTAATGTGCCTTTCTTGGCTTAGCCTCTTGCCATTCAGAATGGAAGGAACATTGCAGGTACGCCAGACTGATCAGGTCTGGTATCACGACGACATGGATGGGTCTTCTTGAGCCATGGGGACGCGGAAACTGCTGCAAGGGCATTAAAAAAACAACGTTTCACAGTGAGCATCTTCATATTTGCTCGCGACCATATATGCAGTGATCTGTTTTGCGCCACGCTCGGACGACCCGGGCCTACAGCCCGTGCAACCAGCGCATGCAAACGCTGAGACAATATCGGTCTACAGCTCTCAACGAGAAAACTCGGGGGTGAACTCGGAGAAGGATGTTCTTAATCCTTCTAACAAAATCCTCGTCCAGTAGACAGCTGTAATGTCGAGGGTTCCCACGACAAGGCACAAAGTCAAGGATCCTGAGCTAGGCAGTTTTCTTCATGTCCCAAAACAAAAAAGTAATTGAAAACCACAAGTGCGCTCGCACATGGTCATATACATATGCCAAGCAGCATATGTTCGAGGCTGTGAATTTTGGGGCGTACAGGGAATAGTAAACGGCGATGTTCCAAAGCCCAGTTTGCAAGTCCTTTGGCGTCGAAAGGGTTTTGTGCATGCTGGGTGTACCTGGAAACTCAACCTGTGATATATCCAAGCGTCTGTTGTAGTAAATACGATACTGGATGTAGAGGTCTTCCAAAGAACGGTTGGCTTCCGGAGGCATTAATCCAGACCCATGTTGATTGATTATCTTCATCATCCGGGCGAAGGTGTTGAAGACAACATTGAGCCACCTACCAGATCAAGGGAAGATACAACAAACCAGGGAATACTGTCTAAACAACCAACAGATTCATACCCCACCTGTTCACCTCGTTGGGATTCCGGTTTTCGACTTCCATCGAAATCAAAGCCATAAAGAAAATCATCATGCGGCTGGCCGCCCCATTGATTTTCTTTTGGCCGATGGCTGGGTACTTGTTTGTCTGCGGTTGGATTGTTTTCTGCTGAAATAGGATTGCTCGAGCACGACATCCATGAGGAATTCCTTGTTTGGAGACATTCATTCAAAAGTTTGATTCACGCATTTCAACCGTGAATCTTTTTAGTTTCATCTAGTGTCGGTTTTCTTGGCACCACTTTGCATACTGTTCAAAGATCAACCGCAATCGGTCATCTCGGGCAGAACCGTGGAAGCCAGCAGAGGCATTAGAATCACTCCAAATCATCAATGCAGAAGCATATATATCCACAAAGATGGTGAGGTCCAATATATGTAGAAGATCGGGGAATATTCCTTGTTCCCAGGTAAAGTCTCCAGTCAAAGCAGCCAAACATGGTGCATGGCTGTGTGAGTGTCTAGGCATGCGCCGAGTCTCGAAAGTTGCTGAACCCTCGAATGGTTGTCAGAGGTGTGGCGCCATTGATGTCAATGAAGGTCTGCACAGATGTCAGCCTTTGCTCCATAAAAAAACTAACATATATACATGTACAATATGTGTATATATATATAACCATGTTCCTTTGAAGCTGCAGCCATGCACATCTTTACTGCAGCAGCGGGGCTCCTGTCTATACGCCGCCCCTCGTCCAAAGTGAGTGTACAAATTTGGATCGTACGCCCCCCGTTCGGCACCTTGTCCTCCAACATAGGCAATGGCATCACATAGGTAGCAGCAATGACGATGCCGGTAGGATCCTGATTTCGAGCTTACAATCCAAAACTTCCCAGCGGTATTTAAGTGGAACTCCAGATCCACATCACTTCCATTAGGCTAGAGTCGGTTCAAACTGAAGATATGAGCAATGAAGTCTGCATCCCCTTGCACTCCATCCAGTACAAAGGTGAATTGCCCTGCGATTCGGGTCCCTGCAACTCGCAGCCGGTCCGGGAAGTAGGACTCGTCAAAAGGCCGCCCCCAAGGATCTGTGTAGGGAAAAGTTCCCTGTCCTGAGAAAAGAATCAATAGGTTGCCTAACGCTTCCTGAAACAACATGTTACTTGGTCAGCTTTTTGCTTGCAAGCATCGGAGGCTTTCAAAAGACCAAGCGATGGTTTCCAATATGTGTTGCCGGCACTCGTTTCCAGTGTAGGTGATGTTTCTCACCGAAAGTAGCAACCGTGTGTCAAGCGTTGATGAGGACACTCCACCACCAAGCACTGGCAACATCGAAAACAATTCAAAAGATTGATTTCGTTGGGCGTCCGCACCGTCCCCATAGATTCTGAGCGGCACGCACCATGGTAGGTGAGGATCCTCCCAAGCAAGTGTGCCACAAGTTTTTGGGGTTATGATGACTTGGACTGCACACTTTCTTTGGTGCACCTGAATCTCTGGGAAGGCAGCTCGCAGGTCTTGATTCTCTTGCCAATATTTTACAATAGCCTGGGCAGTGTGGCAAATAGCAACCGTATGAATACTCAGCGCTGCAAGTTGGAATTATTGATCAAAGAAACAGAAGGTGGCCCGAGAAAAAGGAAATAGAAGACTTCCGGCTTGTCATAACTGTAGACACTGTTGATGAGATCATGTGGAAGCATGACCCACTGCTTCAAAGTCCTCACTTGAGAGCCTCTTGATCGTACACGGGCATGAGCAGGTACATCAAACCTGAAACGATTTTGGGAACAAGACAACCTTAAGTACCGGTATCTGCATGAAACGTTTTTCTTAGACCGGGCACACAAAGTAAGATAGTGGCATCAAACGTCGCCACGGCTGACTATAGACCCATTTTTGAAATGCCCGCTCCAAGCCCCATCCACCGCCGCATTGGAAACGGTGGGCCAAGTCCAAAATCTCCGACCTTGCCAGTCAGTCGTGAAGACTTGTCGGTTTAAGTTCACACTGCACGTTTTTTTTAAAGCAGCCAAGGAGCGGGACAAGATCATGGTTCAACTTGGCCAGGTTCATGACGGTCTCCTGGATGTCATTGAGCAGGGCCTTGGTGCGAAGGATGGAGGGTTCTTAAGTCAGGTGGGCAAAACAGAAAAACATTGAGGGTGGCACCCCTCCACTGGCAAACTTTTTCAACAGGGAGTCCACCATGTCGTCGATGACCTCCTTTTGGACTGCCACCGCCAAATCCCTGGCAAATGCAGGCCATGTTCACACAAGTGACCATGTTCACGCAACTGACAGAAAATGATCTCAAATGTTGCGCCAACCACGAGATTCAAAGATTTCAATACTAAATGTAAGATTTTCTTCGCGGTCTTTGATCTCAAAGTATTGGCCCTGCGCTCTATCACAGGGATGTTGAAACCCCAACTTGACATGCGAGCCTACCAAGTGAGTAATGCACACTCGCTGCTCAACGTCACACTAGAGAAAAAGCACAGTGGTTGTTTATCCACTGTTGCACCCTTGCAATGGGTCAATCCATTGCCCCAGATCTTCATCCCACTCAAGGTGTAAAGCTTCACCATCCAGGTCGATCACGCCTGCAAAAATAGTGAACAACAGTCAACATGTTTTCTTGAGGGGACCCATTTGCACCTTCATCTCCATCGAGTTCGGTTTCCGGTGCATCGTCGTCCACAACTTTGATGGGCTCAGGTTCTTCAGGCACACCTGGTTGGTACATAGTGCTGAGATCAAGCCCCATAGAAATTACATGCAACAATTGTTCAATGCTGACCACCTGCCTTTCTTGGTCTTTTTTGCCTTTCCCTTTGATTTGGCTTTTGCTTTGGGATCATTCTTCTTCTTCTTGGCCTCTTGGCCTCAAAAACACAGATTGCAGTTGAACCCGAGTCCAAGTAGAATCTCCATGTGTAGGTACTCTCAGCGCCGGACGGTTCTTCCAAGCGCGGACTGTGCCAATAGCGTTGTCAAGGTCGTCAATATATCCCTGATCGTGGCTGCAATTTGCGAAATCACCAGATCAGTCTCAGAAGCTCGGTGACACAAAAACCACTGAGGGAAGTGCAGCGACTTTGGATTTCTTTTTGGAAATCACTTCATTGACTTCAGCAGCAGACTTCTTGGCGAACACCAAGTCCTCCAACCTGGAATTCATTGCTGTGACCACCATTTGACCAATGTGTAAACAAGTTACAAGCCCCCCACTTTTGGGCATGACTCTTGAAGTAGGTGTTGCACTGGTACATGCACTCCGCCATGGCCTCAAAACAATTGTCAGTAATTGTTGGCGCAGAAGGCATTCTACTTACAAGCCTCTTGGTGCGGAATTCCCAAAGAATTCAGCTCCAGGGCAACTTCTCTGGCTTTACCCGCTTTGGCGTGCAACCTTCAATTCCAACAATCGGGCGTTGATTGAATTAGAATGCAAGAAGGCATGCACTCTCAAGAATAACTACCAATTCAAAAGTGTAGGCCAGGTACTCTTTGATGGTCTTTTGAATCGCCGCCTTCTGCTGTTCTTCCACAGTCTTCTCCTTCTTTGGCTTCTCTGGTTTCCTCTTAGGTTCCGGTACGGACGGGGATCTATTTCCAAGTCCTGCTCCTGCCAATGCAGCCATATTCGCACAAGCTTTATCCAAGGACTGGGACACAGCTGCTTTGCCGCTCTGGGATGTGACGAGGCCACGTCCGCTGGTTTTTGTCCCCGATCGTTGCACACTGGAACCTCGAGAGATGAACGCAATCTCACTCACTGGCTTTTGATACTTTTAGCGCTGGAGGAACTGAGCTAGGAACTGGTGTCCACCTTTTTCTTCCATACAGTGTAGGATCGAAAGCGCGCATCGTTTGGGAACTCAGCTCAATTCAAACATAAAAACTTGGGAGAACCAAGTCACAGCTTGCAATGAAGTTGATGCTGCCCAGGATCCTGGGGATGCGGTGTACCTGCCTGGCCTTAGCTGCAGCGAGTCAGTCTAGAGCAGCAACTTGGCTTATGGAAAAACGGTTTGCGGTGGGAAGAAAGCTGGGTTTACAGCTGGCTTTGATGGATTCAACGTAGGCCCTGGCAAAGAAGTGAGAAGACATTGTTAAGTTTTTTTGGACACAATGCCCTTAATACATGAACAAAGGTGTTCCCTCCTGCCAGCTTCACTTCCACCATACTGCTCTTCGATCACAAAGAGGGGAAGGTCTTCAAAAACATCATCATTCTTGCGTTCCGCCTCCCTCAGCACAGACACAAGAATAAGGGATGATGTCTGGTGTAAATGTGCAAATGTGCATTGAGGTTCGTACTCAACAAAGTAGCCTTCCACCTCCAAGTCGGTCCTGATCAGTCAACTTGATTGAAGACAGCAGTGACAATGTATAGAACATAGCCTTTGACCCATGACATACCCAAAATGCAGATTAGATTCAAATCAGGGTCACAAATGAACTCTTTGAGGAGCTGAAAGCGCTTTGCATCCTGTCCCTTGCACGCCAAGTACTTTTCAACCACACCAGCCTTCAAGCCAATTGGATTGTTCATCCTTCGGTTCATAGCATTATATGCTTTTCTTCGTTCTTGTATCGGTAGGTCCTTGACAGACAACGATTTCACCTTGGCCTTTTCCTCATCACTGAGGTTCCCAACCTGAGTCCAAACGAAGCAGCTTGCATGACTCGCAAATAAGGTGAGGATGGCGCCTGGAAGTTGCGGCCGGAAGAGTCCTTCAATGTCACTTGACAGCCAACTTGGGTTGGGCGCTGTCCAGGGTCCTGGGAAGGTGGGGCAAGAGTGTCGCAAAAAATGATGGCGTTTTCACTCAATCATTCTAATTAAAATAGGACATGTTTGATCCAAAGGGCGCTGACATTCGAGATTGATCGTCGGAGCCTTGGACGGCAATTGAACTCCTGGTTTGAGATCATAACTAATTTACCCCACCATGTTTTCAGACTCTGCCAAAATAAGAAGTTCACAAACCAAGCAACGAATCGGGCGTAGCGCTTGCGGAAGATGAACTTCCATCGGGAACAACTGGTGATGCTTGGACTGGTGACTGAAACGATGGAGTCCTCCGCTCTGGCGTGACTAGGGAGGATGGCGCTAGCGGCACTTGCGAGGGTGGCAAGCTGCCAGCCAAAGAATCAGAAGACCCCTTTGTCCGCAGCCTCACAAGATTTGATGCTTCCACAGTTGCTGCAAATTGTTTTGATTCTTTGCCACTCACTGCTGTTGGTGTTTCCTGTTCATCTCCACCTCCATCTCCTCCCTCTGCCGTCTTCTGCCTCTTATTCTTTTTCTTATCATTGTCGTCTGTCTCTTCTGCAGCTTCTGCCGTGAATCCTTCACCTTCTTCTGTGTCTGCCTTTTTCTTGTGCTTCTTAGCCTTTGTTGTCTCTTCTGGAACTTCTGTCTCTTCGTTGGCTTCTGGTGCGCCTTCTTCATCCTTATGCTTCTTCTTGTCTTTCCTGTCCTTCTTCCTCTCTTCTTCCATCTCTTCTACCTCTGCCGTTTTCTTTTGCTTCTTAGCCTTTGTTGTCTGTTCTGGAACTTCTGTCTCTTCGTTTGCTTCTGGTGTGCCTTCTTCGTCCTTATGTTTCTTCTTGTCTTTCCTGTCCTTCTTCCTCTCTTCTGCCGTCTCTTCTACCGCCTCTTCTGGCTCTGTCGTTTTCTTTTGCTTCTTAGCCTTTGCTGTCTTTTCTGGAACTTCTGTCTCTTCGTTTGCTTCTGGTGTGCCTTCTTCATCCTTCTGCTTCTTCTTGGCTTTCTTGTCCTTCTTCCTCTCTTCTGTCGTCTCTTCTGCCTCTGCCGTCTGTTTCTTTTGCTTCTTAGTCTTTGTTGTCTCTTCTTGAACTTCTGTCTCTTCCTTGGCTGCTGGGGCGTTGTCTCCATCCTTATGTTTCTTCTTGTCTTTCCTATCCTTCTTATCCATCTTCTGCATCTCTTCTTTGGCTTCTGCTGTGTCTTCTCCATCTTCTGCTGTACGTTCTTCCCCAGCACCTGTTGCATCTTCTGGTGTGTCTTCTCCGTCGTGCGTTCCATCTGACATATGAGTATTCCTGTCTTTGGCCTGCTGAGCCTTCCTCTGGTTCTTCTCTTCATATGCCTCTGCTGTTAGATCTGGTGCTTCCTTCCTTTTGTTTGTTTTCTTCTTTGGTGTGGCAGCAGCTGGCTTCTCGCCAGTGTAATTCCACGTGGGCTGTGTCCTCAGCTGATCATTGATCGCTTGAAGACCTTCCATGCCCTTCCCTTTCCCTTTCTGAAGCCGCATGGCCATCGCTTTTGCGACAGCTGCAGCTTTCCCTGAACCCTTTGTCTCAACCCAAGGCATCAAGCCTGTCTTGGGATCAACTCCATCGGCGTGCGGGGTTGGTGGGCGCCATGAGATCTTCTTCTCATTCGCCATGGTCACACAAAAACTCAGACCTGGTTCTAGATCTAGACAGTTGAAAATGGCAACAAACAAATGCTGGACGGACATCAAAAACGACACAATCGATATGGTTCCATGGTGTCAGACGTGACACGCCGTGACACGCCGTGACACGCCGTGACACGGACGGTTGATTAAACTGTTGTATCCTATGAGGGCCCCGACACGGCGTGACACGGCGTGACACGGCAGTGTTCAAAACAGCAGGGTCTGAATGTGTCACCAGTGTTCACGTGTCATCGCGTGTCGTCACGCGTGTTGTCAGTCTTCGCGTGTCACTCGATTGAGGCTAGCCTGGACATTGATCTCCAAGCCATGCTGCGATCGCCTGGCGATCAGTTCGAGCCCGTCACTAGATTGAGATTAGAAGGGAACAGTGTGTGGGCGAAGGGAAAGGAAGGTGTGATCCAATGCAAGCCTTTGTAGTGGTCGTTCTTTTTGTGGCCATGGGGTAGCATCCCAAGTTTGATCGTTGATGTCCGGAGGAGGTCAACAAACAAAGGGTCACTGTCGATCGGATGTTCTTTTTGTCTCATCTCACAAGTTGCACACCAGATTGAGACGTTCACGCAGATAGATATATGCTCAGCGGCCCAGATCTCCTAGATCCATGGCCCAGTGATACCACCAACATCCACCAACCCTCACATCCTATATAGAAGTTTAAGGCGATGAGGAGTGTAGACAAAACCAAATCTTCAATTTTTCACTTGGGGTTCATGGTCTGTATGAGATCACCAAGCTCATCCTCGCTTGATGAGCCGTCTGTATCCGCCAGCACTAGCCCCCTATCCGGTTGGATATAGCTAGAACCCACGCTCAGCCCATCCAAGAAGGTCTTGTGCGCATTGGTCACCTGTGGATGGAGTACAGCATGAGGGGCAACTGCCTAGATGGGAAAACACAGTCAATTAATTTCATGTGCACTCCAATCGCCTTTATAGAGAACTCCCAGGGATACTTCTGGCTGCTCTTCAAGTCACGCGGGATTCCAACCTAAGGATAGATGGATAGACCCGACATCATCATGGTTCGAAATGTTTCTCCTTAATCCATAATATGACATGTAGTCTTAGATTCCAGTTTCAACTTTTTCAACAAAGCAACCACCCGCAATTGACCTTGACGGTCGCGATATTTCTTGACCATTTTGACACCCTTGAACTTCTGGAGCCTCTTGAGTTCCATCCTCCGCTCCCACGTCATGGAAATCTTGCTGAAGGGTAGCAAGAACGGAGCTGTAGTAATCAACAGGGTTGGTTTCCTAAGATGAAGCGGTCGGCAGAACATACACAACACCGAACGCCAAAGCCATTTTCCACATGCGCCTACCCCCTTTACAAAACAAGTTTTCCAAGATACACTGTTTGGTGTCCAACAGCGCCAAGTGGAAGGCTGATGAAGCGAGCGCCATGCCGCTTGCACAGAGACTTGGTACCAACATGAACGGAACGGATGACAAACCCTGATCCTTTTTTTGGCCAAGTAGCTTCAAGGTCAGGGAGGTACGGCAGTATGGATGAGGCTGGTTGCTCAATTGTCCAATAGACACCCTTTCGGTGAAGATATTCCAACCTGGGCTGTGTCATGCATGATGTCTTGAGGAGTGTTAAGGCAAGACACTTTTGGAACATCATCTTGCAAGATAGGTGACCTGAAATAGTCTTTGTGGGGTTCAAAAACACAGTCATTGGGTCACCTTGTTTCAGAAGCATTTTTGAGAACCATTGCGATCCCTGAGCCAAGAATCATATGCAGCAACCGCTTCACCATGCGGTTGATTTCGCGGATCTTGGGAAGACGGCCTGGGTTCTGGGTTTTAGGTGACAATGGCTGTGTGCACATACACACACATGAGATGCCACCAAGACACATCTCCCCTTGGGGTTGAGTCGGGAGCGACCTGTGGTGCCTGAACATGGGCAAAGGATGATAAATAGACCCATAAACAATGGATTACACTGCAGGCAACAATAAATAGACATGAAAGTAAAGAAGACCCGCCTCTGGAAATCCAAATGAATGTTGAGCACGGCACCCCAAACCAAGCGTGACCATGTCGCTTCAGCCGCCTGCACGCTTGCAGAATTGCAAGGAAGCCAATTGGGAGCATCATGTTCTCATTCGCGCTGTACTCCACCTGGGCTGCGCGCAATGGGTTGCAGCATGCTGCAACACAGGCATGGAAGTCGAAATAAGTCGAGTTGGGGCAACATACTGATTGCCAAACAAGTTGCATCAAAAGCAGTCCCCTTCAGACCCGAGTCCAAGCCAGCCGAATATATGCGATGGGATCCAGCAAACATCTCCATCACATCAAGGCCTTCAGCTTGTGGCACCTCGCCATAGCCTGCACCATGTGTCATGATGTTGGTTGCGTTTCTCAAGACTTCACCAATGAACAATGGTTTACTTGCCCAAAGGTGGCGTTGACATTCCAGGCTTTTATATACACGCTAACACTAACATACACCCTGTTTTCAGCATGCCAAGTAGCTGTTCAATAGGCAAGCTAAAATGGGCACCAACCGCGAGAAGCGCATGATCAAAGAGCACTATGCTCCTTCTTGTGTTGGTCTGGTCGCGGGCGGAGCAGCTATGGGCGCAGGCTGAGTGCTGCGAGCAGGAGACCGAGACCTACAAATTGGCCTGTCAGCTGCAGAAGTGGGGCGAGGTTTGGAAGGAATAACCCTGGGGGGCGGTGGGCGGACAATACCCAAATCAACCTGTTTTGCTGTCACCTCACGCTTTGGGGGAGCTTTCGGTAAACGTTTCGGAGTTACCTTTCCCTTTACAACAACCCCCGGTTTGAGTGGCGTGGGCAAAAGTTTTTGCCCCTCAGGAACGGGTTTCCTGGTCAACCCGGGCTCTGCAAAGTGTGTCCGGGTGCGAACAAAGTTCGCAGGCACCTTTGCAGCAGCCTTTTCCTTAGGTGGCATTTGCCCCACTGCTGAAATCTGAGCCACAAAAACAAATCTGTTCTTGATGAAACATGTGCTTTTCATATCTGTTTTCACTGAATACTAGACTGTATTCTCACACGCACACAACTGGCCAGTTGACCATTGCCCTTTTGCTATATTCTTCTGAAAGTGCATGCAGTTACACTTAATGTTGAAGTTTGTTCTTCTTTTTGCTCGCATTCCTTCGAGTTGCATGGGGTTGCATTGAGTGCTAAAGCTCTTCAAAAGCACACATTAAAGGAACCAGCACATGTGTGCAATCACACACATGCCACCGACGGGTGGGCCAAGGTAGGCATAAAGGAAGCAACAGCACGCATGTGCAATCACACACACATGCTGCACACATGGGCCAAGGTAGGCACATCTTGAACATCAATTGACCTTTGTTGTATTCCATGAGTCCAGAGACGGTGTGCCCATCTAAACTCCATGTTGAGGGAAAACAAAATCGATAAGTCCAGCCCAAACAGCTTTGCCGTTAACCACAGGCTACGCGTAACGTCGCCTTTTCTTTTCGGATTCTGACATGTTAGCCAGTATCTCCTTCCGCTCTGCAGATTTCAGCCACGCCTTCTCTAAGGCAGCCTTCTTGTTGTCCTTGCCCTTGTATTTGAACCTTGGCTGGAGATCGGCGCATTAGCCACACTGTGTGGCCGTAGAACTGGGTTGATGGCTTCTGGGAAAACTTCTTTTTGGCTTCACCATACCTTGGCTATAGTTGAACTACATATCTAGAACAGAACGCAATTCAAACATGTCATCTTGCATGTTCGGGCTCACCAAAAACGCAACCAGAGTGCGGAGTTACTCCACGTGGTTTCCCTTTAGCAGTACCTTGTGTTTTTGCTTTCTTTTGTTTCGCGGCTTTCTTCGGACTCTTCTTTTGGGTCGCGGAGTCCTTGGTCAACAATACAGGAGAGGACACTCACAGGGAGAAGTCTAATCCATGCACATATATACAAAACATTTGCATACAAGCTTCATTCGGGGCAGTACCTTTTGTGGCTGTCTCGAGCCTTTTTGCCGCAGCTAGCTGAATCTTTGCGAAGGGAGTCACGATCTTGTCTATGTTCTTCACCTTGGGCGGTGGTGTATAAGTCGGCGATGTGGCCTGCCATACACATTCTGAAACAAATGAGCGGTTCTTCACGCTGTGTTTCGGTTTTCGTGACATTCATACGTATGTGTCCTTCATTGCTTTTGTGAAATAACTTAATAATTATTGGTCGATGATCCTTTGAGTCCATCCTCATCCGAGACTGGTTCGGTTGAGGATGCAAAGGGGAAAAATGATGGGCCATTGGAAAGAAACACCAAGCCTCTTTGGTTTCCTTGGTCTTTTCAGCCTTTTCCGATTCTGGGCCACTCGCCTGGCTAACAATGACGTGCGGAAGTGCTCATGGAAAAACAAAGCAAACAGCCTTATTTGTCCTTTCTTCAACCCTTTCCGGTTCTGGAGCAGGCACCTGGCTGACCATGAATAAAAAATAATGACTTCACTTCCCTCTTGTAAATGTTATGTAACACACAGCCTTCATGTTGGTGTCCAGCGCTGGATCCTGGTCGAAAAACTCACTTCTGCGTGTAGTGGGAATTTCAAGAACTTCTGATTAATGGCCTTCTTTTCATCCTGATCCATGATGGTTTCCACCTTTCCACGGCGACGCCAACACCAAAGGGGTTTTAGGTGTTTCAATGCATTGACCCACCTCGGCCTCAAAGTTCTCAGGACAACTTGGATCGAGGTCTTCGCCTACAATGGGAACTGATGCGAGCATTAGCTGGGTCTTGCTGAGAAAAACCTGGCCTGATCCTTCACATTCAGAAGCTTGCCAAAGTTCAAACATAGCCCAATAGTCGAACTCGGCCCAGTCCACACCTCATCAACGCATACAAGCAGGTTTTTCTTGGAGAGAATGGCTTAGTGGAAGACTCTTTGGCAGGGATGGTACAGACTCAACCATGTACTCCATAGATGGCCACCAATCTTGATCATCGTGATCATTT